TTTGGTTTGGGGTTTGCTTAGTTATTTATCTATATATTTGTTTATTTATTTCAACTTAACTCCCTTTTATGAGTTAACCTTGTGCCATGCCGGGTTTTACCGCTGCCAGCCCAGCCCTCGCTCGGTGTGAGCGGGGCCTGAGGGGCGCAGAGGCCGCGGCGCCCGGTCCCAAGGAAGCGCAGGGCACCGGTACCTAACAATCAAACCGCGCTGTCTGTGCTGCGAACTCTGCAAAACAGGGTTTTACAAGCAACACAGTCCTCCTTAAAGCTGCTCAGATCTCCTTTAATTGGTTTAGCAGTGCAAATTTAAACAGATGCTTTTGGTTTGGGCTGCTGTTCGTGCCATGTTTCCAGAGAGAGTGACTCTCTCCTACGGGCACCCCTTTAGAAACCACAGAAATTAATCTGCGTACCAAGTCTTCAGCTTGGTGCAAAGTACAAAATATTATGTCATTGTCTTGGTTTCAGCTGGACTAGAGTTCACTTTCTTCTCAGTAGCTGTCACAGTGCTGTGATTTGGACTCAGTTTGACAATTACATTGATAACAGGCTGATGTTTTGGTTGTTGCTAGGTAGTGCTTACCCAAATCAAGGTCACTCGAGCTTTATATTTCAGTTTCATTATGAAAGACGTGGAGAACAAAGAGCATGTTCAAAGTTCAGAGTCACCTGATTGATTCAGGTGATCTTACCCACGTCAGCTGTAAAGCTGCTGATAAACTCGAGTCCATCAGATCACTACGGGCTGGTTATGGGGCTGGAGCACTTGGTGTGTGAAAAGAGTCCTGAGGGAACTGCGTGTGTTGGGAAAATAACGTGGTGTGGGGATGTAGTTACAGTCTACAGAGACAATGATGCCAGATTCCTTTTGGTGCTTTGCTGCAGCAGCAGGAGGGGCAGTGCCCTCAGTTCGAAGAGAGAGGAATTCCTACCTGGCATAGGGATGACATTCTTTGCAGTGAATGATAAAGCAGGGGAGAAGTTTGCCTGTGGAGGCAGTGGCCTTGGAGAGCTTCAAGTCTCTGCTGGACAAGGCTCTGTGGAATCTCTTTCAAAAAATTTTTATGTGAATTTTTAAAAATTCAAAAATGCATGACCTTGCAGGCAGTTTGCAAGAGCAATAAAGTGACACCAGGGAAGGTGAAAATAAACGATATGAATTTAAACAAAAATCTTTGCAAAAGTAGTGAGTAGGATCATGATTTACTAAGCCCAGCCAATGATGCAGTTCTCCCATTTGAATCTGTCATCAAACTTTATTTTTGAGCTATGACAGCCATTAAAACAGTGTTGAAATAAACTGAACTTAGACCTTTGAATCTCAAAGTATTGAACCAAGATTAATGAGGCGTATTCAATCACACAATTGTTCTCACTTAAAATAGTAGTAATAATAGTACTATTAGTAAAAGAAAAAGATTATTGATATGAGTTAATAAAAAGTTAATGAAGTTAATAAAAATTAATTATAGTATTGTTAATTTAATCTTTATTCTGGTTTTAATGTCTAACTTTTGTGTATGGTATATTGTATATATATAATTTATAATATAAATTATAGTAGGTACATTATTATATAGATAACATTATGTATATAATATGTGCACATAGTAGCTTGTGTGTACAACCTGTAAATAAATATACATATATTATGGGGGTGTGTTCAAAGCTTTCATGCTGATAAGGACATGTGGTCAAGAAAGTTTGGAAGTCACATATGTAGAGGAGTATGGTAGCAAGCAGTGTGGTTGGTTAGCCATGTAGGTATTTAGAGAGCAATACAGGTATTTATTTAGTGATATGGGCATTACCTGGACATCTCAAAGCAATTTTCCAGAAAGCACTGTGTTTGTGTATGATGGCTTGGGGCTCATTTCTAAGCCCATCTAGCCAGTGTAAGCAGCAGATAACATTACATAAGTAATTTCTGTAGTGTGGGTAACATGCCAGGAGAATTAAATCGCATATTCTGCAGGCTTCTGAGCAGGCAGTGTAGTCAATGAATATCTCTTGGTTTTCCTGAATTAAATTCAAGCAATCGAATTAGCTGTGTAAGACTCGATATCCATTCCCAATACACTAAATTAATCAAAGACCTGAAACCTGAGGTGTAGAGAACTGGAATATGCATTTACTTCTTCACAAGAAAACTTTAAAAAGCACTCACTGGCAAGATGTATGAAGCCATTTTGCCTTTACAACCTTTGTTGAATGATCATTTAAAATTTAGCAGATGTAGAGTTTGCAGCTTGGGAACTGTAAAATCCCATCTCCTCTCTTCTCAAGTATCACTTCAGTAATCAACCCCCTGCTGTTTCTTTTATGTATTTATGTTTCAGTTCAGCAAAGCACTTACGTTCACCCTGGAAATGTAACTTGTTTTTAGTCACTTGCTGTTCAGCTAAGTTCTGATGCATGTGCCTGGTGTTAAATGTTGGGAATACAGGTGGGTGCCTCAGTGTTCAGCTGAATTTGTGTCTGAGTGATTTGAACTTTTGCCACAGTGAAGTTTAATATAAGGTGTAGTTGCACCAATTTTTTCAAGGAAGAAATAAAATGTTTTCCCTCTGAGAATATGGTGCCTTTAAGATGCATACGTTTTATGGTATAATTTTGTGCTGGGAAATGAACAAATTGCATTTCATCATGGGTAGTGTGTAATATTACAGTGGCATGAAACCTCTTCTGAGATTTAAACTGCAAGTTTACTGAGCATGGTAGTTTGTTCCTATATGATCCTGAGCTGATATGGCATCTCAATGATGTGATTGTGGAATTCAATGGAAAATAGGCTGGATGGAGAAGTGAACCCAGATGAAGTAGAAGTGATGTAGAAAACTACTGGCATGGGCTGTATAAACTTGTCAAAGCCTTCCACATTTCTCCACATGCATTAGCAGTAACAAGGCAAGTTAAATTCAAAGTAGAAGAATTGAGATGACACATTCCTCTAATCCAGGTGATTCACAATCCTGGTTTGCAAGAAAGATGCTGGGAAAGATGTCCAAAGTTGTGAGTTTACCACTGTATTCTTCTGAAGACTTAAATGATTTGTCATACGTTAACTTGCATTTTGAACCATTCCTAGAAAAGTTTTGAGCCTGTCAGTGAAACAGCTGGCAAAAATTATTCAATTGAGAAAGCTTTAATGGAAAGGAATTCCAAATGGAATGAAGTTGAGCTATTGACTATAGAGAAACAGGAACCCATATTTTGCCATCTGTAGATGGTATCCAGACCACATTGTCAAAATCCAGACTGTTGAGGGGATTTCCTTTCATTAAACATTATGAAAGAGAAATAGGTTATTTTCTCTAATACATCACCAACTATTGTAACCAAACAAGAAATCTCTTCTGCTTAATCTAAAGCATGGAGACTTCAAATGCTTTTGTTTATCCTCTTTAAGCAGTGAATTAATCTTGTTTTAAAGGGATAAAGCTTTTGTCCCTTGTCAGCCACATACTATTTAATCCCTTCAAGCTGATTTTTACTCTTAATTAATGATGTGGGAGTGCTAATGCATTGGAGATGTTCCTAAATACTTTTAACAGTAACTCTGGTACCTAAGGCAGCAGATGTATTATATAAATACCTTTGTTTTACCAGCAAAAATATATCTGAAGGTAGAGATGGGAAGGTTGGAGACTAAGAGAATATTGTCTAAACTTTCTACTTAAAATATAAAGCTACTGAATTATTTAGGTCTTCAACAATTAAAAATGTTAGGGCTTATGGAAAGGAGATGAAACTAAAGACAAGACAAATTTCGGGGATGTGGTGAAAGATCTATAGTTTTTTTCCAAAGCAGAAAATTAAATTCTAACATTAAGCATAGTGTTCAAAACTCTGTACTTCCATCTTTGAGCTGGTTTTGTCTCTTTTCTCAATGAAATACTTCTTAAATTGCCCTTAAAACATAGCCATGTTTTGAAAACCTAGAAGCCTTTCCTAGAAAGCTTGGCTATAAATATCTAGCTAACATGGATACCTCAAAACTCCCACGGACTTGCAGAAATGCTATTTCAGATTTCATTACATATTCAGTAAACATGAATACATATGTACATATCCCTACATGTGCGTTCCAATAAGTATTTATTCTGTAATTGCTACAATACCATAGTATAGAAGCTCCATCCTCGTTAATGTAAAATAGTTGGGTTAGCCTATTTAAAAAGAGTAAGCTTGCCATGGTAATTTCATAATTTCAGCTTTCAGAGTGTTTTGATGACTGACTGTGATAATGCAAGGTATTACTTCAATTACACAAGACAGTTGCTTCAGTCTTTGAGATTCAGGCAATTACACAATGGTTGTTCTCTTAGTAACCTAACAAAGCATGGAGAATTCTGGATTGATGCCGAAGAGAATTCCAGATTCCTTGTCTTCATTTTGGTGTAAGCAAATTAACTAACCTTCCTCTTGGAAACTGCATTTTCCTCTAGCTCTTGGTAGAAGCAAGGTCACCAGAGCTGAAGTCCCAGAAGCTAAAAGATGAGAGAGGGACTTTGTTTAGAGGAAATGGTTCATGTTGGGTACCAACAGTGGTCTGTTGTTCAGAACCTGTGGCAGTGAATAAAGGAAGAAGTTAATTAAGTTTTCACATATTTAATTTGACAGGACTTGGTGCAGCCACCATGTATGGGTGTGCTGTTGAGACAATTACTGCTATGGTTCTGGTGATGTTGAATGAATTGTATATTTGTATAACAAATGAGTTTACTGTACAAATATACAATTTCTATTTTAACAGAATGCACTTATGGTAATAATTCCATCTCTGCTACCCAGTAGTATGTGAGTAGTATGTTTCTATATGGGAAAGAAGAATATAGGTATTTGTTATAGGGTTATAAATAGCATTTTTTTTATACATTTTTTGCAAATTGTTTATGTCAGTAAATTAGGAATAGAGACAACTGCTATCATCACATCTGTGTAAGAAGTGAAGAAGTGTCAAATGGTCGTGGTAAATAATTTTTAAATGATGCAAAAGAAGTGAGGATACTTAGAAAAAATGATAAAGGATCTTGAAGTTTTTGCTTTTAAAGTAAAGGCTGGATAACTATTGAATTATATTAATGTGTACCCATAGTGGGTACAGTAATGTGTTCCACATCCACACTAGGAATTTGAAGTCAGAAATAAAATATGACTTAAGTATTGGGCTATTTACTACTTGAAATCTTTTAATTAAAACCACGTCTTTTTGTTGTCCTGTATGCAGAACAAGGCCTGCTTAGTTTTGGTTCAGTAGTTTAGGTTGCTTTCCTGTCTTCTGTGCTCTCAACCTGTCCTAGCAAATGAAATAGTGGTCTGGGCTTGGGTGTTTGTCAGAAGCCAGATTCTGTATTCTGTTAAAGTGAATTAGTCTACAAATACTATTACATGCTAAAGCATGTCCTGCATTTATTCCCTGGTACTGTTTGTTTCTTGGATTCACTTCATTTGGGAATTCCTGCCACCAGCTTTTCAAATGATCCAGTTGCAGAAAATAATGTGGCATTTGTTATTGCAGGAAATCATATGAGGTGAAATCAGCTGAAATCTTAAAGCTTCCACCTGTTGCACCTGCTGCTGAATATGCAAACTGCCCTAAAGGTCTCAGCAGTCTACTGAAAATGCTTTGCTGAAAGCACCAGGTAATGCATCTGATTAATGTCCCTCTACTGGGAATGCAAAGGAAAGCTGTTTTTCATACAGGAGATTCTGCATGAAAGGCTGAAGGTTCAGGCTATTTGGCTTTATTTGGAGCCAATTTTCAGTTCTGACATCATGGCTCAGATGCCTGAAGGAAAGTGCATAATTCAATACTTGACTAAAAGACTTGATGAAATCAGTTCTTCAGGTACATACTGCTGTCTTGAGTATAGAGTGAATTTCTAGTATGTACCAATAAAATTGCTTCTGATTGTCTATTTTCTGTTTCATCTTGGCTTCCTTACTTAGGTTCTTTAAAAAATCACTGGTTCAGACAGAATCAGAGAAACATTGGTTGGGAGGAGCCTCTAGAGTTCAGTTAATCTGGCTCCTTTCAAAAAGCAGAAACTTTTGGCACCACTGCATCAAGTCAGCTACAGCTTTGTGTATTTAAATTCAGAAATCTCCATGAACACAGATTTCTTGCAGATTACCTCCAGAGGCTTCAGGGCTCCTAGGGAATAATTTTTTCCTGCTGTCCAAGCTGAATCTCCCAAGCAAAGATTTGTACCTGTTACTGGCTACAGTTAAATTCCACCGTAATTTCCACTTCACCAAACTGAGCAAGTCCAGCTCTCCAAAACTCCTCTCATGCATGCTCTGCAGATTCTGATCCTCAGGGAATTACTGGCTACCTTGTGATTCTGGTAATCCTATTATATTATTCTAATAATAATTCAAAAACCTGTCTGCATTCTGAAGATCTTTGCTAATATCAAGGAGTTTCTAGTAGGATGTTGCATTTTTAATGTAGTTGTAAGTGGGCTCACTAAACTATCCAAAAAAAGGCAAGATATTGAGAAGTTTGCTGGGTATTTCTGAATATTGTGTTCTGAATGATCCATTTTAATAAAATCATCTAATTCAGATATTCAGTGCTACTCAATTACAAAGTATTTTTTTGGAATGTACTATGTGCTATCACTGGCAGGGGGGAAAAAATATATATAATGTTTTGTGCAGGAGCGTGTAAATGCCAGAATAGAAGTTCAACAGTGTCAGGTTGATTCTGGCTAAACAAGCAGGCATCAGTTTCCAAAAGGTGGCACTGTCCTTCCACAAATGCAGTGTCTGAGGTTCATGGCTTAAAAGGCTGCTCTTCTCCAGGCTGTATGAACGGTGCTTCTTAAAGCATAAAGCTAATTTGAGTCTCTTCAGGCTGATTTGGTTTTTGCATTTGTATGACATTGTGTAATAAAATTGCTTTATTGGCTTAGTTTTTCATTGCAAATTTGAATAATCATACATTATTCCTTCATTATAAATATCTAATTTAAACAAATGTGTTGATGAGGTTTAAATTACTTGCTGGTTTAATTTCCACTTCCCATAAATTTTAAGAAAATCTTGGGTACAGAAATTTTTCTGTCTTCCCAGAGAACAAAACAGAAGGGAGAAAAAAGGCAAGAAGAACCCCAAGTGTAAAAAAAAAAAAAATCCTCAGACTGCGATCAGTGATATATTAAAATTTAAATTTAGAAACTAGATTACTGATGGTCTTTTAGCAGGCTACTCAGACTATTTTTGTACATTTAATTTATGTGCTTCTCTTGATACTTTTTTCCCCTGCAGTTGACACTGGCAGTGTCACTGACAAAATAAATTACACTGATGTTTTGAATGACTGGGAATGATGCCATTCCCTTTTTGATTTCATACCTTAGTTGTAAATAGGAAACTATGTTGAAGCATAAATTATTTTTTCCCTAGCTTTTTCTCATATGAAAGAAAAAAACAAGCAGAAAGAATCCCATTTATAAAACTGGCAGCACCGCTTTGATTTGCTTTACCAGCTGCAATTATTCTATTTGCTGTTGATAAATATACTAAGAAAGGGAACAAAACCCACTTTTCTCTTGACAATGTGTAGTTATACAATTGTGTGCATTAAAAACTGTTTTATAAACCCAATTATGAGCTGTGCTGGCATGCTGACATATCGGTTGTCTATGTGTAGGTGAAGTTTCTGCAGCTGGCTGTGGTTGGGTGTGGTGAGAGGCAGGAGGCACGAGGTGAATGTGTTTCCTGCACAAAGGAAGGCTGTGATTATTGCAGTAGGGAGCTGCACCCCATCACGATCCCTTAGATCAGCACACAGCTCTGCGTTTGGCACTAGGTGGGAGGGATTTCTGTAACACCAGCAGGGGATTAAAGCAAAACTGAATGCATTTGCAAATGTGTATCAAACATTCAGAGCTTCGGGCTGATATGGAATTTGGAATTTACTATTAATTCTCCAAACTGAAGCTGAAAAGGAGTTGTGTGTCCAATCTGCCTTGGCTCCCTGTGAGGAGTTTGTTCTCGGGATGCGTTTTTCACCCCTGGCTGTGAGCAGCAGTGCAGCCTCTGTCCTCAGGTGTCCTTGTCCCGCTGGTGGCCCCAGCTGATGCTCTGTGAGGTTGTTCTGCCTCCTCAGGGCCTTCCCTGACACAGGATGTGATGGGCTCTGACAAAACTGCTCCTACTGGAAAGACTTTGAGCACATCTTTGTCTTCTGGTGTCCATCATTGTTGTCACTGTCAGCAGTTCTTGTGAGTACTGATCAGGCTGAAATTTTCCCGTAACTCTCTGGAGTTTCTTATGATAGATACAGTTGTGTGTTTTGTTTTCATCCTGGATGTGTGCTCCTGGCTGTATGTGTTCAGGGGCAGGCACCGGGCACAGCAGAGGGACCTTGGGATCTGCTGGGATTTCTGGTTACCTCTTTTTCCTTCTTACCTCTGGCCGTCCCAGCACCACTGAGGTTCTGGGTGCACTGGTTTAGGTGGCAGAGGAGATGCCTTGGCAGAACCTGTGTCCCAGGCTTTGGGAAGTGCAGCAGGGGATTGGGATTCATCAGTCCCCGCTTCCTTGCCAGGACTTCGCCCTGACAGAACATTTTGTATTGCAGTGTGAGGGGTTTGGATCGGTTCACGATGTCCTGGCATGGAACTGAGCTAGAATAAATTCAGTCATGGTTTCAATTCAAGCCCATACTGGAACTGAGTAGAAACATTTATTTGGTTTGATTTCTTCACTGTAAATCTGCATAATGTCCTGCATTTCAGTGTGTCTTTGCTCCCCAACCCCATACCTGGTGAGCAAGTTTAAAAGCTGTAATGAGGATAGGCTATAAATGGGTCATAAGGCAAGTTAAATGTCAGAACCTAATGTTCAGACAACGGCATTCTTTAAAGAGCCTTTCCAAAACCTTTTTTGCATTTGTATTAGCTGAGATAACTTTCCTCTTATGCAGTAGCTTTTCTAATAATTTACATTAATTCAATTTGAGAGATCAATTTGGAAAGCACTAGAAAGAATTTGGAAAGCACTCTATGTCTTGATGTATATTTTGTCATCTGTACCGTGTACAAATACAGGAAACCCAGTATTTATTCAGCAATGTGTCTTGACAGGTGTTGTTCAGGTGCTGTTGTGAAAAGAAATAAAAGTAGAATTTCTTGTCTTCTTGAAACAAGTAGAATTCTGTTTTGAGAACAAAATTTTTAAAATGTATTTAGTTAGGAAATGTCTCAGGATCAGGGAATAACTTTTTTTAGATCATATTGCTAGTTAGTGTTGGTACTGAAGTGTCAGTGTTGCCTGTGTACAGCTTTGCCAAATCAATACTTTTATCTTGTGTATATATTTATATATATTGTATGGAAAGAAGGACTATTCCTTGCATTGAATTCTGACACTGATTACTGGTTAAAATGTGTGCCTTTGTTGTTGTCATCAAAGTACACTTTAAAAAATCCATCAAAATGTTTGAATTGCTCATGTTGCTCGATCACACAGTGCAGTTGAATAGCCGGTGTGAATTGATGTTGCTCCAAGAGAACGATGGGAGTTGATCAATTGACCCTGTTTTGAAATTATTTTCAGAAATAATAGTTCTCATGTTTTGAATAATTTCATACAAGCTGCCTAACTACTCCTGTGAACTCTGGCAATGAGCAAGGTCAGTAAATTGTAAACCCAACAATGTTTTTGAGTAAAGCAGAATGTGATACAGAGATCCATTTTGATTAATACTTCCTGCAGTGCTGTGTGGTGATTCACTTGAAAAGGCAATAATATTTTTATCTGGAATAATTTCTTTTCCAGAACAGACATGTGCTGACAGTAGTAACAACAGACAAGAGGCTGGAAAAACTGAGGAAGTGCAATGAATTTCTGGAAATAATTCTCAAGGGACTTAATGAATACTTAGAGAAAAAGCATCTGTTTTTCCACAGATTCATTTTTTTATCCAATTAGGAACTTCTTGAGGTTTTTTCAAAGGCTGAAGACCTTACTTGGTATGGAAGTATTTAATAGGGACCTTGTTAAGTATTATAACCTTTGCTATAAAGAGAGGAACTGGGTTTGGGTCCCCATACACAGACTTGACAGTGTGCAGTGTGCAGTGAATGTAGTGCAAAGTCAGCCAAAACAAGAAGAAAAATTAAAACTGAAATGTTCAGTCCCAGAGAAACATCCTTACAGTGCAGAGAACAGGACAAGAAATCTTGCGAGGAAAAAACTCTTAAAGGTGTTGTTTGTTTGGTTTTTTTATCACGGAAAACTACCGTGTAAAGGTTGTACCTGGTTGCTCTACTCAATTTCCTTGATGTTTTCTATTGCTAGGAAGGTATAAATAATAACTTTTTATGCACTGGAGGTGGATTAGCTGTTGAAGAGAGAATTTTTGTTTATCCTTATCGGTTTATATGTTACAGAGACTGTAAGTAAATTTTTACATCTTTAAACTGATCTTCAGTTAATACAGTGGGACATAGTACACAAGAATTGCAGGGGGCAGTACACAAGAATTATTGCTGTGGATAAACTTTTTTTTAATCTACTTTCAAATGATCTTTTAAGTAAATTGTTCAGATGTTTTTCATAATTATGTATTGGATATATAATTATATCATAGGTAGTATTGGAGAGAATAAAATGAAACATTAAAAGGGCATGGGTATTTCCTGTGTTGCAGGAATTAAGTTGCGTATGCTATTTTGTTTGCAGATATGTGCCACTGATGTTTTATATTTGGGTTTGTAAAAAAAAAGCATCTCAAACCCTGTTGAGCTACTGGTGAATGAAAGTCATTGTACTGGTATCACAGTGAGAAGAAGCAATTTAACAGAGAGATATAAAAGTAATGTAGTAAAAAATAAGAAATACATAAGAAATCCAAGCAAACATAATCATGCTTAAGACCAGACATTCAACTTCCTAACTTTTAAATTTTTTGCAGGCACCAGGGGATTTCTGGGCCAGGATAATAGACAGACTGAGGACATTGTCACCTTGGTGTGAGGAAAGCTGTCTAAGCAGAATTGAGTGACTCTAGGAGCACTTGTTGAGCTTGATGTTCATGCTGAGGATGTTCTTTCATCTCTAGTAAGCAAAAAAGGCAAAGATGAGAGTGACTTTGAATGGTTAAGTCAGCTTAGGTCCTACTGGGAGGTGAGTGATACCTCTCAATCCTATTAGAAGGTAATTTCTGTTCACAGTTTTTCAATTTCTGCTTGCTTACTCACACAGGGAATGGTTACACTACAGTGAGAATTTCTGCTGATAAGATAATACCTGGAACAATCATTTTATGGATTGCTAACTAGAATGGCTGGTAGCCAGACGTAAACAGTTTTTAATTAAAATTACTTGCTTCATCTCTGCTGAGTCTCAGTGCATTTGCTGAATTTGCAGGAAATGTTACGGACTGTATTTTTGTTTTGTGATACTGCAGGAAAAAGAATGTTATAGGGATGACAATTTCAGTTAAAGATTTTAATTTACTTACTAAATGTAATAAGTAATTAATTAAGTTAATTAAATAATGTAGTATGTACTTTACTTACGCACAAATAAAATAATATTGACAATACTTACTGGAAAAATATTAATTCTTTTTAATCACTGGATTAATAATCACTGGATAGTGGTAGGATACAATGTTTTACATTAATCAGGACAAGATCACCTTTAATACAAGAGACATTTTCTGTGAAATATAAAAGAATTTTTAAAAAAATGTAGGGGTCGTGCATTAACCATAACTACAATTATTGGTCATGATCGCTTCTGTTTATCTTTTATAAAGTCTATTAACTACTTCAGTAGCTGGACATGACAGTTTTACTCTGCAGTACTCTTAGTAGGATCTTATTTTAGGTAATGTTTAAGCTTTAAAACAGTAGGGTTTTTTTTGATACTTTATTATTTATTAATTGGTAATTTTTTCTTTATTTGGGTTGCATTGAAATGAGTATCTCAGCAGCCATGCTGTTGTTTCTAACAGCATTGAGCCAAAAAATACTGTGTTCTTTTTGTTTTTCTTTAAATGGGTCACAACCAACGATGGAGTTTTATGATATATAATTATGTATTAAAAAAAATAATTAAATTTCACTAAAGAGATCAGTCTATCAGTGTAATTTAACACCAAAAGAGAAGTGAAATTGCTGGTGGGATACTTATGCAAAAAAACAATAATACAGATCAAATAATGGAAGATACCTGGTAAGGTGTAGAGCCTGATTTTCAGCTGTGGGTTTTTCTAGAAGGCATGGAAGCAAGATTCTCTTCAGATAGCAGCAACAAAGTTAACATCCTCTGAGAGTGTTGCACAAAACTGGGGTGTTCTTGAAATGTCCTTGGAGGTTTCTGGTAGTCCCATCAAGCCCACAGGGAATTTTTTGGCATGCATTGCCTTTGATGCATTGAAGAAGTGTGCTTTTTTTTTGGATGCTGTTTCTAATTTGGAACATCTGGAGCTGACGATGGAGCAGTAAATCTGCTCTGGGCACTAAGGTCAGTGTGGCCCTTGAAAGCTGAGTCATGGCAGGCTTCTTATTTGTGGCATGCCTCTCCTACATCCTCACTCATATTGGCTTTCTTGTGAGGAGATAAACTTCCAATGATTTTACCAAGAGTTCAGATTAATCTCTTAACTTACAAATAAGTACATTAAAAAATTTCAAGTTTATTTCTGCCTTCTGTGCTAACGCAGTTTTAAGTCTGTTTTGGGTAATTCCTTATTGCTGATTATATGGGCAAAAAATAGGCAACATTTAGATGATGATTTTTTAAAGAATTATGGTATATCATCTTGAGCTTCTTTCAGAAAAATAGAAAATGAATTTGAAATGGACTCTAAGTCTTGTCTGTAGTTGAAGTCAGCTCTCTGTGTGTTTCTTGTGCACTCTGGTATGGTTTTGGAAGTAGAGGGGAGGGCAAAACTACACAAGCAGTTCGTTCCTGTGGTGTAAACCAGCTGCTATGGTTACCAGGACAGAAAGGATGGGAACTGCAGCAAGAATTGCATCATCTTCCAAATATCCCATGTCTGAAATGTGTCTGTACCAGATAGTTAAGCATTCTAAAAAAGAAGGGTTGAATTCCTGCTAAAGCCTATTTTTTGATAGGTTATAAACATGCCTGGAAAGATGGCTTAGTTAGAAAGTGACAACATAAATACCAATTATGGATTGATAAGGAGCTTTTTTTGCAGAAAAGAATGTACCTACTTTTATGAGACAGTGATCTCTTTAAAGGGTTTTTGTTTTTGTTGTAGATTATTTTCTTCACTTGTTAATATTTCCTGTATTTCACACAGACCTATTTCAAATTACATATTTTATACTGATCTTCCTTTATTTGAGTGAAAATGTAACTGAATAGACTTTGGTGTGCTGGTCCTGATAGCAGTTTTTGTTCTTTAAAAATTTCCATTAGAATAAGGTGTTTTTTTTCTATTTGTTGAAATTACTTAAGAAAACATTTTTGTAGGAAAATAACCTGTGAATGTTTTAAATGTTTGTAAAATGTCTCTAAAATGATCTTGTAATATAATCAGGAATTTTTTCTATTCTGACATTGACTTATGCAGCAAAAAAATCTGCAGCGGGCAGAACAATTTAATGGTGGCCTTGAGGGTGAGAAAAGTTGCTGGCATGAGACTGCTTTGGAGCTGGGAATGCAGGACATCAACTCAACTGGAAGACACTCATTCCATCAGGCATTGCAGCTTACCTAGCAGCCTTTACATCCAGCTAGAGGCAAGTGATATGTACAGTGATTTTGTCCCCCTTTTTCTTTTAATAATCTAAATTTCATTAATTTTTCTAATATAAATATTTTTTAAAATTACATTTTAGTAAAATAAGTGTAACTGAAACTGTGTTGCTGTAGGCTTTTGAGTTTTGTTTATAAAAAGTCCTGTGGAATATTCTTTATTTCCTCTACTGTAGGGTACTTTTTACTGTGTAAAACATGGATTCCTTTGGATAATTTTCTTCTCTAAAGCAACAGTCGATCCAGAACAGCAGATGCTGCATGCCTGGAAGTGTCCAAGGTCAGGTTGGATGGGGCTCTGAGCGATCTGGGGCCCATGGCAAGAGCTTAGAACAGGGTGATCTTTAAGGTCCTTTCCAGTCCAGGCCATTCTTTGATAACTTAGTGAAATAAACAGAAATTCAGAATACAGAAAAAGTTTGACATGGCAGATAATTTTTATATGTAAGAACCTTTGGGTGTCAAGATTAACCTAACTTTGAATGTATTTGAACACCAAAACCTGCCACTGAATTCAGCTGAAGAACTTAACATCTACATATTTTGAAAATCATGTCCAGGTTAATGAAAATTACTAAAAATTAAGAAACGAGAAAATCAATGTCTGCCATTTGAAGATAAAATTTGGATATTATCCCTCTTTCCACTTCTCCTTCAATGCACTTACATTGACACTAGAAATACTACAGATCCAGGGCATTGATTGTACTTCTGGAAGCAAAACTTCTTGTTGAAATTAGAGGATGTAGGCTGGGATTCTGATTGTATATGTAATTTTTTTCAAGTAATTACTGTATTAATAATTCAATCACTCAGGCTAAACAGTTGACAAATGTTAATGAATTCAACACTTGTACAGTTCATCCTCCATTTCACTTTAACACAGCTTTGATCAAAATTCTTTTTGAACTAATGGAAAGATGATTAGCATTTTAAAACTAAATAATGATAGCTTTTAATTCTGAAAGGTGAGATAGAATCTGCCTCAAACTGATAGTACATATTATGCCAGTAGTTATGAGTTTATGGCTGGATATTAGGACCACAGGAACCATATAAAATTCAACTCAAGCTTTTTGTAACAACAAATTTTTTAAAAAGTAGAATTTGCAAGCAATCCAAGGAGAATTTGCAAACATACACAGTGCCTGCTTATGCATTCCCATCAATGAAGAAGGATTTTATAAATGATGAAAGCTCTGTGTGTTTGGCTGGTATTAGAGAACTAGTCTTTAATTATTCAAATAGTCTGAAGTGGGATATGCTGAAAATAATATGACTGACACTTCGAGGTAGGGAAAGATATAATGCAGTTTTAAGCTGAATTTTATCCAAATGCTAAATTCCTGTTTTAAAATAAGAACTAGCAAAATTAATACAAACAAATTACATAAATATTTCTGGTCCAGACTCTGCTTAATGTGCAGGTTTCCTGTGTTCAGTTTACAGTCTGCAATTGCTGGAATCCTCTTACGTTGAAAAGGTAACCTGGATCCATCTCCCTTGGGTCTCCCTTTGAGCTCTCAGACGTGACTGAGCCACATAGAAATCAGGGAGCTTAGCAATTCTTCCAGTACATTTTTGACCCACTGCTGACCACTGCTATGTGCTGTGAGATTCTCTTTCTACCACTGCTGATGCTACTGCCTCATCTGACAGATATTCAGGTGGTACATTCCTCCAGCAAAACCTCCTCTCTTAAATTTGTGCTTTCTTCCACAATATCCATTTTCATTAGTGGAAAATTCCTTTTGGTTTCACTTAAAAATGCTTATGCATGTAGCTGTATTAAAGCTGTTCAAAATTTCAGAGAGATATTATTTTGAATTAAATATAAAACTAAATGTGATTAAATTTTCTAGTAAGAACTCATTCTAAATACATTATTTCAAAGAGGAAAATTGGGTTTTGTAAACAAAGAACTTTAAGATTCATCTATCTCCTCTTAAATTCATCAAGGATTGTACTATGTGTCTGCTATGATTGCATACAGATGGGTTTTTGCTGTAATGACAAAAGGGAATAAAGTGCCTTAAGAAACACTTTGAGGTAAACATTTGAAGAGCTTATATTCCAGTTTTGAAAGTTTGTATTTTCCCCTTCAGTAATGCAAGAAGATGGCCTCTGATGATGGCTCCTTAGGGAGCTATCAAACAAACAAATGAATAAAGAACACAGAAAAAGCCAATAATTTGCATACAATCAAACTCACTGACCCTGAGTTTATTACAACACTGGAAAAGTGCATTCAGTTTGGCAATGCTGGAAGGTTGACTAATGAAAGTGTAAATTACAGAAGGACCTGGAGGGGGCACAATTAGCTAAAAAATGGAAGTACTGACTACCCAGTGTTCTCATAGTTAAGGAAAATATATGTTTTTCCCCCTTGCTTTGAATCAAATAAATACTATTGAAGCCCTCACTCCAAGTTATACTTAGAACCATAATAAGATACTTCTTAGCACAATGTAATAATCAGTTTAATTTATATATTTAATTGCTTTATGAATATTGCTATTTCTTTTTTTTCCTATTACAATAAAGTTTCTATGCATTATCTTGGTGGAAAATTAATTAAGGTGAGCAGTTTGAAGATAAATGTGCCACTTCTTGGCTAAAACCTGTGAAGAATTCCTGACATTTGTTCATTCCTCCTCCCCTGCCAACTTTTTTTTACACTTCTGAGTGACTGGTATCACCTTGTAAGTGTTGACATTTCTCACATCTAATACTTCACCTTGCAATACTGACATTCTTTCACCCAGTCAGGAATTTATTTAATTAATTGCTTTCATCACCTTTTCCAGTCTGGATCTCCTGGTGCTCACTGGTCACCTTTTTAATAAAAATAGTTACAGGCCTCAATGCAATAGTCACCTCACATGCAGAAGCTACATCTTTTTTCTATCTGTAGGACAGGGAACAGTCTGGGCAGCCTAAGTTTAGCAGAACTGTTAAAGATATTGCTAGTAATCATTTTAGTCAGAGCTTAATATTTTGAGATCATATTTGAATTTACCTTTGAGGTAACCTTTACCACCAAGGCAGTCCCTGTTCTATAAATCTAGCTCTTTGACTTTAAGTCTTATTATTTTACATCTCAAAACATCCTCTGTATCCCTGTGTGCCTAAATTAAAGTAAGCAATAAGTAAAATTGCCTCACTTTGATTCCAAACCTTCCTGTCAGCAAAAATATGAAGATACAAAACCTGAATCCCAGCTGCCAGTGTGAAGTACAGCAATCATCCTCAGGGAATGTTTGGTATAAGCCCCTTTTGATGATTTTACCCAGTGAAGGCAGAGGTAGGCAGCCCCACAGAAAATTCTGTGAATTAATAATTCACATAGCACTGTTTGGCTTGGGCTGCCTGCACTAAGTTGTAGCTGAATACTAGGATGTATTCACCTGTTGTGAATATATCAAGTTGAGGACTTTAGTTCTTTGGAAAATTGTCACCTGAAAAATGAACAGAGAAATGAGGACATTGGAAAAAGAGACTGAGGGAGGGGACTACTTCATTATACATACTGGGATTAAAGCTTTTTTTAGTCTATAGCTAAAATAAGCACAAGGTGCTGTCTTTCAGCAGTAAAGATCCAAGAGGTGTGAGACAGCTGTGTGTGCATTCACACATCCAAACAAGAGAAAGTCCTTCAGTAAGCAGTGTTCAGTAAAATGAGATCTATAGACTATCATCTGTTTACCGCTGAAGACTCTCAAACAGTAACACCAAAGCCAAGAGGATTACTGACCCTTGCCTGGCAGATCAAAAGGAATGGCAATATCTGCCACTGTCCTGATGCAAAGAGTTGCTGCATCTTGTTGGGTGAAAGCATCTTTTATCAGCCATGTAGCTCTAATACTCACAAATAGTCTGTGGTCAGGTTAATACAAAGTTAACACCCCACACCAACTGCTGCAGTAGCAACATAACAGCTGGATTGGGCACAGGCCCTTTACAAACCAAGCTCTCTAGTGCTTTGCTTGGCTTTAATTTTCTCCTTCTTGTTTTTCTGCCATCACTTTCTGCATTCAGCTGCTGCCTAACTCATAGTTACCTAGCAATACTGTAGTGTGATTGTCATTGATGACATGTTATCATTGTAACATTCAAGACTGGCATTAGAATAGAAAAAGGGAGCTAAAATGGATGCCCACTTTCCCCCACACATAATTTCTTCACTTTCGAGAGAAGAACTTGAATTTAAAAATTACTCTAAATCTTTCTAAGACAGTAATGCTGTGCTATACAAGAAGCTTCTTAGAGTAACATTTAAAGGTTTTTTTAAAAAAGCTTTAAGTATGTCAATCTCATTTCTGTAACTTAATAAAAATTTCTTCATGGATTGATGTGTCAAGTTAAGGGATAATTTACTGTCAAGATAGGGAACTCATAAATGCTTCAAAGTATGCATTTTTATTCTACAATAGTCTTTCATAAAGGAAAATAGGAATTAATAACATTTTAAAAGAACTCCAGTGAGTTTGAAATGTAATGAAAAACTTTTAAAAACAGAATAGTAGGGCTTTCAAAAGCCCCAGAGCTCTTCCTTGTGACTGTCTTACATACCTTGTGTCTACCTTTATTCGGTACACCTGCTATTTGTGCTGGATGTCATTATCTACCTTTATTCGGTACACCTGCTATTTGTGCTGGATGTCATTATCTGTGTCAATCTTCTCTGATCTAGAAAGACAACTTAGTGGTAAGCAGGAGTGTAGATACTGCAGGTGCTTAAAGCAATTGTTGCACAGGCCCATTTTGTTTGCTGGAAAGTGTTTTGAAGCAGAGCTGTTCCGATTTGAGCCTGCCTAGGTGTAAGGTTTTAACAGAGATCACAGAAAGCACTCACAGTTGTGAATCTTTATTCCAAAAAAAGAGCCAGCTTGCGAAAAATAGAATAAAAGTATTTGCTTAAACATCTTGCATACAGTGGCAGGGTAGTGGGACTACTCTTAGATGCCCACCCAGCCATAGCAAAAAAGCACACCGTGAAAGTCAGGCCATACCTGTCTACTCTCTCCTCTGATGCAGGGAGGCTGAGAGCAATTCTCCACAAACACTCCCTCACCCACCTGTTCAGCTTTAGATTTGCAAGCAGGCAAAGCGAGGAATGTTTGCACCAAATTAAGAGACTTTTAGAGTCAGACGTCACAGCCCACTGGTCCTGGGCTCCTTCTGGCCAGCAGCTGAGCCTCCCGGCTGCTGGGCTGCTGCCTCATCCCCGGGAGGCGGCGGTGCCGGGAGCTGGGGTTTGGAGCCAAAGTAATCCACCAGCCTCTGCCTCGTTGCCGCGACTTCTTCTTGAAAAGAGTTTATTGTGCACCTGCCAACTTTGCACTTGAATCAAAGCAAGAGATTGAGCCTTTCAGCTGAGCAGTTTAACTTTGCAGCTCAGCCAAATTCCAACCCCCCGCTCAGGCTGCGTTAGGGTATCAGCGCTCCACGACAGCGATCGTACCCTGCCCAGCCTAGCTCACAGCCCTCCCAGCTATCGGTGACGATATCCTTGGGGCTAAGTGTTCCCACCTGAAGCTGCTGCTTCTGATTTTTTATATACTGAACTTAGAAATAAAGTCATATTATGGCTAAGACCCCTTTTGTACTGTGAAACATTGCTCTAAATCGTTCACAGTTCAAGTTAGGTAACACCACCACCTCACTCTTAGTCCACCTTCTAAGATATCACTGTGCCATGTGATCCTATTTTTTTGTACTTTAATCTGTTGCACAGTGATCTTAAATGCTTATCCTTGACAGTCATCAGGTATATATTTGATACAGAACATTATTAGCAAGGCAAAGATCTTATTTGTGCAAACCCACCAACAAGTAATATGCAGAACCTTTTACTGTGCCTCATCAGGGAACTTAGTTCACTTGATTCTTACTATCACATAGGATTAGGGCTCATATCAGCTGATCTTGATCAACAGAGCAGCTCAGTTGTGTGCTTTTTTACATGTCCACACTATGACATGAAGTCCCAGAACTGGGAAAGAGTAAAATATTTGAAATGGCCTTTAAAGTTTAATTAGGCAGATTTATATGTAAAATTTGACATGTGAAGCAATGACCTGGTCAAATTTTGTCTTTTCATGTACATTGTTCATCCCTCCTGAGAATGATAATGATGCTCATGTTGAGTTTTCTACACTAATTACTGCACCATATATATATATATATATCTGCTGTAATAAGCTGTCGGAAAAACACTTCTGAACAAAACAGGCTTGTATTCAAAAGCCAGCCAAACTACACCAAGAAGTGCCTAGGTGCAGATTTCTTTGCCAATAATATACATAAATCATTACTTCAGAATTAGTCATGTTCTAGCCTTAGACAATCATTCCTGGTTGATGTTTGGAAGTCTTAGCGAGAGAAGTTCTCGTTTATATTCTAGCTTCGAATTTCAGATTACGTGTTTAACACTTACAATGAAGGTCCTCAATCGAGTCATCTCCAGCATGTAGTACTCCTCCATTGTCAGCTCATCAAAGTGCTTGGGAAGGGATAAAAAGTCACAGGTGTGACGTTTGGTGTGCTCCTCCCTGCAATATAAACCCAGAATCAGAACAGATCTTAAACCCATGGAAGTTTCACTTCAGGAGATGAAGAGGTCTGTACAGGAGGTCTCTTCAGCACTTGTGCTGTCTATCAGCAGAAACAGTATCATACAGAAAAGAAATAGATTTTAGTGGATCTGAGATAAAACTAGTTGAAAAATTTTACGACAAGTGGGCAAGATAGACTTCCAGTTTTGTGAACTGTTGTGGTAGGGACTCATTGTAAAATTACTAAAGAAATTTGGAGAGGTACTTCAAGAGCATTGTTACATCTGTGCTTACCATGGGTCATCATTTGGTTCCCAGTCCGCCAGTTCTAACAAGCAAAAGAAACATTTTGCCACATCTGGTTCATTTTCACCTGGACAATGGATGAAGCCAGCCTTTGCCATCTGCAGGGGACAGTTTAGAAGTTCAGAGCCTTATCCCACACATTACTCATGTTTCCTACCACTTTATGATGTCTAGTCAGGACACCAAAGATTAATTTTGTTTCAGTAACCAAACACCTTCTCATGTAATTCTTGCAATATGACTCCTCTGAGATTCAGGCTAGCAGTATCTTGTGTGTGCCAAGGTAGAAGTCAGGTGGATTTTTTATTTAAATAATTTCCATTTCTGAATTTGAAGTACTGATCTTCAGTGTACTAGTTTACCCACTACTTTATCCCTCCTGTTGGAGCTGTACTTATTTAATGTAGGCTGCTTTGTCATGAATAGAAATTTGCAATTAGAAAGACTATGTAATACAATAAATTAATTTTAAAATGACAGGAATAATAACAAAAAAATGGAATAAGACCAGTAACTATTAAAATCTGTAGGCAGACTAGAGGACTAACACAGAATAACCAGTAAATCCCACAGAGGACTAACACAGAATAACCAGTAAATCCCACTACAGGATTTCTGCGCAGGTAACAGAGGGAAGCTGAATATTTAACTTTTCATCTTCAGGCTTAGTGGATTTCTCTTAAACCTGAATTTACTTAACAATTGTGAATTTACTTAACTTCACATTCAGTCATAGTACATACAAATTAAGGCAGAGGCAACTTCACATTCAGTCATAGTACATACAAATTAAGGCAGAGGCAAAATAACCATTTTCAGACTTACATTCTCTGGAGTGCACTTGCAGTTCTCCTGGAAGGGCCACTTGGTGAAGGTTTTTAAACGCCTCTCATATTCATACATCTCCTTAAAATCAGCGAAGAGCTTGGAAGCTGAGGTAAGCTCTTGCAGGAGGGTCTCCATCAGGGAAGCCTGCAGTCAGTGTAGGGCCGAGCCTTCCTCCTGTTCTCCCATTTAAGGCCTTTGCTAATTGGTGACACATTGCACCTGCAGAGCAGGGGAGGGCCTAAAGGAGCCTCAGTCCTTCCCTAACACAGCTGAGTCTATGGGCAGGACAACCAAGAATCTCTTCCCCTTGTGTCTTAGGTCATATATTTTTTAAGCTTAAAGCACCTATAGTAATTGCAGATTCTACAGTTGAAATGTCAGAAACTGCACATTAAAAATTCTAGTTACAAATATGGAAACTTTGCATGTAAAGCTTTAAAAAATGCTGTCCTGGGTACAACCAAAGGGGCTGAATTAACATTGCTATTTGAATCCTTCAGTGTTTCCTGAATTTCATGTTCAGAGATGAATTCTTAGGATTGTCTTTGCAAATACTGTTGCCCTTCTTTAAAGAGGAGGTGGCTATTTTATAATATTATAATATTTCTATTCTATTTTAAAATATTATAGAGTATGGCCAGATGATGGATGATATTATTTTCGAGGTGTATGTTTATAAGGGTTAACAGTATCAAAGCATTAAGCTGTCACTTTATAAACTGTCTCTTATTTTGCTAGAGTCCAGTTAAATTCAGTTGAAGTTTAAACATCAGTGTCCTCAAGACTGCTGCATGCAACAGCTTTCTTAGCCAAGGTCTTAATACTTCTGAAAGATGTTGCATTGTGAGACTTGAAAATTTAAATTTTCTCTGAAATACAGATGGAGTAAGTGCAGAAAATAATCCAGTACATTATTCTGTTCAGATGTGGTGACAGAAATGAGATTAAAGAACATTTGTATAGGATTTCCATTGTCAGCTCTTAGAGAATTGTTTTTGCTTAGATTTACAAATGCTACATCACTGATTCCTCTGGGACTGTACTGGTGTCTATTTTTATGTGCAGGAATACTGGCCTTGAAATATATATTCAGATATTTACAGTAACAAGTATTACATGAAAATAGGACTCTTTAATTCCTTTTTTTTTCTTTTCTTTTTCCAGATAACACCAAGGTGTAGGAAATTATCATTCATGTACTGGGCCCTCCAAGCACTGATATTTATAGTTTCTCCTGGTGCTGACTTCATGGCAGCCCTTCTTAAGTTTGTTGATGATCAGGTATTTTAATCTCTTTTTTACTGTAGTTGATGTTAGTGTGAGTATGTGTGTGCATGTGTGAGTGTATTTGTATGAAGCAAGGAACTTTGTATATTTAAAAGTTGAAATGCCAAACTAAACCCAAAACTGGTTTTTAACTGCCCAAAAATGTGGTAAAATTGATGTCATGCTTCTCTTTAATAGAAGGCACTAATTCATGTAAATGGATTGCTTTCAGGTATTAATAATTTGTCTGTTGTTTTAAAGAAACTGTAGGTTAAATATTTTGGCATATTTTATCATCTTGTGATGTCATGATCTATTTAACTAATTAGTTTGTGCCATTTCAAATGGAATGGAAAATGCAAAAATGGACAATGCAAAAATGGAACAATACCATAATAGTTCAAATGTTTCTTGTAAGCAGTCTTATCTGAAAATGGTGTATTTTTCAAACACGCATTATTGTGTAGCACATTATTTAATCAAAAACACCACAGTAATATGGGACTTTGGAGTCCTGGTGACATTTATACATCAGAATTGAAATATGGATTTTTATTTGTTTTTTTCCTTTGACTGTATTTATGGCACTTAAACAAACAAACAAAAAATTCCTAACAGCCCAAATCAGTTCTAATGTAGAAAAGTACTGCTAGAATACTGGAAAGTAAGATTATACATGTAATAGCACATTCTAAGCTGTGTTTCCTGCATTTCCTGCCTGTAATTCTGTCAGAATTCTGTGCTGTAGAGAATGACAGGTCCATTTCAAGTCTCCAGCTACCAAGCTGCAAATGTATCCTGCATTTTATAGTAGGCTGTCTATATCCTTCAGGAGAATACTGTTTGCAGAAGTGTTCTGAAACTGTCAGAATTTCATAGGTCCAGATTAAATGGATTGGTGGTTGGAACTTTTCACTGGAAGATACATAAGAGGTGGCATGACATGAAAGAAAACTGTATTTTAAACTATACAGTATATTAAATATCTGATATCCACTATCTGATCCTGAATTTTACAGTTAGTGCAGAAAACCTGTGACTAATGTTGCAACTTTGTAAATCAGTTAAAGCAGACTTTGATGAATGTGTATCTATGATCTGGGGGGAGAAAGCCTCAGAAATGAAATAGTTGTCTACCACTGCAAGGAAAGTAGTTTCAATTACTGCCAATAGTGGAGTAAATGGATTTTTTATTTTATTGCTTGTCTCATATTTCATCAATTGAAACTTGTTGCTATGGCATTAATAATACAGCTCTTTTTCAGGTATTTTTTTCAAAAAAAAGGTTAGGCTGAGAAAACTTATCCTGTTTTAATAATTTGATGTGTATTTGCAATCACATTTTACATTATTTTGCATTGTTTTTCTATAATTAATGTAGATTATCTAAATGAGTTTATATATTTAGCCAAAAGGTCTCGGTTAAAAACCAAATCAAACATTTCTACGTGATGTCTGTGTGTAAAGGCCAGGAATTGAACTTGGTAAGGATTGTATGAACAATATTTTATAATACAGAGGTGTTAAATGTATATGTGCATGGTCTCATACATACAGTTGTATGTAATGTATATTAATTAGATGTACACAAATAACTTTAAAAAATAAAATTGCTTTGAGGTTTTAAGAGACTGTTTGGAGCTGATGCTCATGACCATTTAAAGACCTCCCGCTGAAGGCCTTGGTTTGTCAAGAGAATGTTTCCCCTGCCTCACAAAGCTAGCAGGTGGAAGCTGGGCTCTGAGAGGCTCAGCTCTGAGCAGTTCCTGCAGGGTGTAAAGCATCCTACTGCCACCCCTGAGGGCTGCCCAGGATTTGCTCAGTGCCAGGGCCAAGGCCAGCCCCTGGGCTGCTGCAGGGTGCATCCAGCCAGGATCCAGCTGAAGAACTCGGGCAGAGGTGGCTGTTTCCCATAGAAGCCTCTCAGGACTTTGCCAGCTCTACTGTTTTTTACTATTTTTCATGTTCCAGCTTCCTAAGCAGCCCAGCAAGGCCAAAGTCTGTTCAAGTTATGGATGGACAGGAACAGGGGTGCTATTGTCAGCCTGGAGTGATTTTGGTTATTAATGTGGTTAACATGCAAATTCAAGCAACAACATGATTTATTAACAGGCAAGAGATTCAAGCAACTCCAAGGAGGTGTTTCTTTCCTGAAAGAGAGTGGGGGGGGCTGTGAGGGGGATGTCCTCCTATTACATGACTAAAGGTTCTGAACAAATAACAAATACAGATCCTGGCAGGGATTGAACCTGTTTTTGTCCTAAAAGATAATGATTTGGATGTAGCAAACATTTATTGGTACTTTTTTTGACTGTTTTGCTTCATTCCAGTTCTCAGTACATCACCCATTCTTGCCTTCCTGCAAATAATTTTCTGCTATCACTCATTTTTTTCTTCTTATGCACCTCAGAGGACTCCAGCTTCTCCCAACCACAAGAATTTAAGCAAGCTTTATTTTCTAAAAATATAAAGAAATAAAAAAATGATGAGGACAGCTATGGCCTTGTGATAGCATACTTTTATTTTAGAAAGATGCCAATCAAGTAAGAGATAATTTGGTAAAAAGTTTTCCATAAGCTTGTATCCAGGGAGTTTCAGCTGCAGTACTATGGAAATTTTTGGTGCTATTATTCTTCAAAAGCAGCAATGGCTGGCTGACTTATGGGATGATTATTAAAAAGTATTTGAAGGGCTGGAGATGAAATGGTTCAAGCATGAACTAGCAGAAGTAATTAACAGCTTTTAAACTTTCCAGTGAGAATTCTGGCTGCCTTCCAAGTGAATTACAGTGATACTCCAAGTGAATTACAGTGATACTGATAGGGCTGCCCAGGGAAGTGCTGGGCTGCTGCTCAGATCACTGTCCTGTTTTCCTGCAGGAACTGCCAGCTGATGCTCCTCACTGCCACTGGGGAATGCAGTTCTGGTGCCAGAGGCACTGTGAACTGGGATTGGCTCTGTAAGTGTTCTGAAGATGTTATTTTCCTCGGAAATAGTTACAAATGTCAAGAACTGGGATTGGCTCTGTAAGTGTTCTGAAGATGTTATTTTCCTCGGAAATAGTTACAAATGTCAATTATATACTTGATCCAAGTGGTGTTTATTTTGCCTCTCCTCAGGGAGATGTAACTATTTCAGAACAACAGAACTACCAAGAGCTATTTTTTTTTTTTTTTTAATAGATGTATCTTTACTGAAACTGATGTGTTTCAGTGTTTACTCAGTCACTGTTTGCTTTGGTGGCTTAATCTCACCTTCTATCAGGCCTTGTTTCAGTGAGTTCTGAGAAAGGGACGTTATGTAAATACCACCCAATTATTGTCATTAAATTGACTCTGCTCTGTGTGAGTCAGCACTGGGGGGACAGCGAGTGAGAAACACAACATGAAGTTAAAGGCATTTTAAAATAGGCATACGAGAAATTATCCATTATATCTACTGGAGGCAGAAAGGCCACAATAATCAGCTTAATTTATCACACAGGAGTTGTGTCAGTCACAGCAAAACACCTTCAGGCACTTGGCAGGCAGTGGGCTTGGTGAGGGGCTGCGGCCCCTTGCCCTTGGTATCAAATTTTAACAGAATTTTTGTCACTCCCAGATTTTTTCAGAAGTTGTATCTTTTATATCTTGGTTCACACACTTTATTCATCACTCTAGGAAAGCCTGTAGTGGTTTTGAAGTACAGCTTGTGGCCTCTTGTGAGCTGCTTGGCTGCTTCTGCATCTTCTTTTCAGTCTAGAGGTATTATTTTTCCCCCACCCTTTCTCCATACCAAAGCTGTACTGAATACACAAAGACACTTGCACAGAATCCTTTCCCAGAGGTCTTTGGCATGACTGAAAATGCTAATAGTACCAAGGATCAGTCAGGAACACAACTGCTATTTGACAGCATTCTTACACAAAGCCATACACCACCTTACCCTAACCTTCTACTGGATATCCATGTTTGTATGTTCACATTCCCTCCTGAGTTTTTACTGTACTTCAATGGAGTTGTATCTCCACTATGGTGAAATTACTTTACCACTTAAGAGTATTTCAAGGCTTTCTTTTGGGTTTGTATTTTTTCTGTCTTCTTGAAAGAAATGTTTTGTGACTCTACAGTCAGTTTATGTATCTCCTACTTCCTCCAGCTTTTAACAGTTTTCAACTCCTTGGCCAGTTCTAGTCCAGTTTGTAAGCCAGGTACAGTCTAGTGCTACCATGGTTCAGGAGAAAAAGACACAGCTGTAGGCAACTGGATTTTGTTAGGTCTAAGCTAGTAACTTTTACTGCAGTAATAGAGGGAATTCTGCTGCTTTAGAGAAAGCACTTGCAGCAATGCCACAGAATGTGAAAAAAGAATAGTGAGGATGGTTTTACAGTTAGGAAAACTCAGAAGTGCTCTGGGCAGATCATGTTTCTGAAGCATGGGAGTGAGAATTTCCTAGGGTGGGCAGCTCTCTCCAGAAGAAGCTATGAATCCTTTCCCTGAGCAATATAGTCCAATGACTACAGGATCAGGCAGAAGATCACAGTAACTTTCCATGGAATTGCCCAATCCACTATTCTTGTCTTCAGTGTTGCTCCTACCTGACGACCTAGAAGTTTGTAACATCTTCAGTTGGACAGAGCATTTATGTTGGCTTTTAATTGTTAAACAACCCTGTCAGAATTTCTTTTAAGAGCTTGATCTCTGCTGAACTGAAAGGAATACTAAAACACAAAATTAATCAACCCTTAAAAAACTCAACAAAAGTATCTGCTCCTTGAATAATTTTTTTTTTATTTTCTGAAGGCTCCTTATGTATAAGGAACATACATAAAATGAACACAACACTGTTGACAATGAACAAAACAGCATTTGATAATTTCCAGCTTTATAAAATTTTTAAAAAATGATTTAGTTATAACAAAAAAAAAAACAATAGCTCAGCAAGTTATCTTATTGGACCATTATCACATTTTAAACCATAGACTCAATTGTTAATGGGGAGAGGAAAGAAAAAAATAAAAAAAGAAAAAAAAATAATCACACTGCATCTAGCAACTACAACATTTTCTAAGCATAATCACAGCGGATTGAGTGCAATGTGATTTACATCAGAATTCACATGGGATGTCACACAGTGACAGCATTGTAATATACAAGTAACATTTACGCCCTCCAACGAATACAAGTTAAATGAGACTCTGGATTCAAGCAAAATGGAATGTTGAAGCCAAGTAGAAATGTAGTGGAATTCAGATTGTCTGTAACATGACTCAAAAGTGTACATTAGAATCATCTGGAATTCAATACTGGTGGAAACATAGAGAAGTCACAGCTGCTACACTGCTCTGTTACATTTGCAATAAATACTAGAAAATAAAAGTAAACAATCTATATTCCATGAAAAATATAGTACCTACCTTCAACGACCATGTTTTTCCCTTGTCTGAAGATGGTCTTGGAAGGAAGTTAACTATTTTCCTACAGAGGCAGTGTATTGTGCTATAACCACATTCCAACTAATACAACAGTAAATATACTACTGGAAATACAGAAATCTTCATTTGAAGAGAATGAAGAGAAATAAACCTTAAAAATTATTTGACAAAACATCAGTTCAGCTGCATAATGACCCCCTTATATTTCAGAATTAACAAAAAAGAAAAAACTTAAACCAACTGACTTAATACAAAAGAAACAGATTGTTTAAACTCAGATCCTCAGAAGGTATCCAGGAAGTTTTGTCTCATTGACCTAACATGGATACTATGTAAAAATGTCACCCAGGAGTTTTAGGCTGCAGAAATGAAGCAATCTGAAGCTAACAACATTGTGTTTGCTAATTAGGGTTCTACAGCAAACATGTTTAAAGAGGAAAAAAGAAAACCTGAGTTCAGAACATCGAATGGCTGTGTGCCTGAACTCTGGGCTTTTGGCTTCTTCACTGAAGAAACTGCACCCTTCTTTGAAATGGACCCTTAATACTGTTTCCTGATACTGCATTAGGAAGAAATACTGGCAACCAACTGATACCTTTAAAATACATGAGCTGCTCTCAGTAAAAGCTAAACTGACCAATGAAGCTTCTGAAGTAAAGGGCCACAGGAAACACAGGAACTTGAAATGGAATGCAGATACCCACTGGCTCTCATTAAAGGCGTTAGGATTAGTGTTTTTAGCAGCTACACTGGCACCAAGCAGACCGGGACTTTAGAACTTACGGCACATAGTCAAAGTACAGCTTTTACCTGGCATACACAGAAGAGAGACAAACTGGATGTTTTAAAAAAAGGCTACTACCATGCTTAGGACTGGTACTACAGAATCAACTTGCACTCCCCACAAACTCACAATTTATTTTTTTTAAGGAGATGGGTACAAGAAGAACTAACTCATGTCTGGCAATAAATGCCTGTCAGCACAATCTGATCTAGGACAGCTGGTCCCAGCAAGTTAAGGCCCAAATTTTCAGTCTATTCTTCTAAATGACACATACCATGGTTCTACCACATCTGCTTTTTAATAATCTAATTTAAATACCAAAATTGTAAAAAAATATCATAGAAATTAACTCCTTTATACTGGAAGTAGAAATCTTCTTACATATTCTTTACTGCCAGAAATGGCTGGTGTCACAATGTCTGATATCAAGGCATTGTAGGAACAGATTTGATGCGCTGTTACAGTATCGTAAATACCCTACCAGTACAACATACACAGATCATAATTTAACCCTTGTGTCCAGCTTCAGGAACTAGCATCTTGCACCTTGGTTTAACATGAAGAGAAGAATACAGTCCAAAATAATCATTTAAAAAAATGGAGAAATTCCCACATGGATTCTCTTGTTAAAAGTGTTTGCACAAATTCACAGCCACAATTCTTCAGTAGTTTATGCTGCAAGTGGCACACAATACATGTTTAGCGTCTGTAAGAAAGAACCAGAAACAGCTCAATAACTCCAAGGACAGGGACTTCCCCAAGCTAACACTAATTCTACTGCATTTGGCATTTTCCTACTAATATCAAGGAACAAACATCAAATAAATCTCAGCTGGGGAAAAAACATCATCAAACTGACCCTCGACAGAAGTTACACTTTGCAGAGTACATGGCAACAGCCTGCCTTCTTACACAGGAGCTTGGCAATGATGGAGTGCAGCTTAACACAGCTTGGAAGAACTTAAACAGTGTTTAGGCTTGGGGTTTCTTTTTAAAAATTTAAGCCAGCACAGTGGTTTCCAGTCATGTCCTGCTGTAAGACTGAATACTTCAAGTCAGCACTATGCAGAAAAATCAGCACAGGATAAATATATATATACACAGAGGGGCACACACACATGTATATGTGTGCACCTCTGCCTATATCTATATAGATCTATACATAATATATATGCATATACATAAGAGACAGCTATGCGCTACTCCAGACTCATGTGGCACTAGAAGTTTCCCTGGGTTCCTTGCACAGGTGTGAGTTTCAGCTGTAACATCTGGGTTCTGTCCAAGTGCACTAATGGAATGGTATCTTCCCAAATGAAAAGATATTTCCCCGTATTTTTTCTTCCTTAAGCAATCAGTGCTCTCTATACAGCACCTTGGCCCTTATTTCTCAGATTTAGGGCTTCCTAAACATCGCTTACTCGAGTTTAGGAGTTGTGTTGGGTCATCTGATGGGATTATAGAAAAGCAGAAGCTACTCTAGGCAGAAAGGAATCTCCTGTCCTTGTGTAAGCAGTGCAAGCACCACGTGTCCTCTGAGCAGTGTGCACACAGCCACACAGTGCAGACTCAAAGCCAGACAGCAACAGATTGGAACCACAGTGATTACCAGCATCAGGTCAAAACTGGATGTCAAGCACAATTTTGTCTTCATAGAGGGCAATCACCAGCATGATGGCAAATCCAAGAAGCAGGCCTAGGTTCTGAAGAATAAACTGCCCCACAGGACAATAACCATGCTCTTCATTATCTCCATCTCCATGAAGCATTTCTGGAAGCTAAAAGATACAAACCAATTAAGTTATTTCACGTCTACTCCATTTATACATGGACAAGTTTACAACATGGTATTGTCAAGGATAAACACACCAGGGTTCAGATATAAAATCAATACACTGAGAGCTTAAACTCTACTGAACAACTACATTCAATATAAACAGGATCACATGATGTATTTACAAAACAAACTAAAAATGCCTTTCCTTGAACTTTCACCCAATCATCCATGTAATTGAGCATTAAGTTCCTCAAGACAGGGCGCAGGCCAATATTCTTCGAGTTCTGCTAATTTTAAAAGAATTCAAGTCATGCTCAAATAAACATATGACTTTGATTAACTTAGAATTTGTTTGTCATGTGAGAAGCTAACACATATTCACATACACATCTCTTTAGAATATGGGAATGATAGCTACAAACAATTCAAGAGAAATTTTATGTGCAGGTGTAAGAACTTATGAAAGTCCTGGACATTATCGATATTGCTCACCTATGAGGAAAAGTCAGAGTACTGTCAAAATCAACTAATTGTAGTTCTCTTGGAAATGTAAAAGTAAGTTCTGTGTTTTACAAAGCCATCCACATAGAACAGAAGTAAAATATTTATAAGGAAATTAATTCAAGCAAGCAGGAGGTAAATGTTAAGATCTGGTTACTGAGAGATGCTTCTGCCTGAATTAAGGTGTGAGACTGTATGGTAAAGTCAAGAGTCAGGATTTTATTTAACAGCAAACATGAGGCAGAGAAAGAAAGAAAAAGGAAAGAGAGAGGAGGGAGAGGAGAAAGGAGTGTGAGACAAAGATGAAGCAGAAGATAGTCACCACCCATGGATCCAGCTGTGTCCCCCTGGTCCTCTTCACCAGGGGAGTCCCCAGGGTGGGTGTCCTGAGGTCACTCCAAAGTTCTCACCATTTACACATTTCAGCAGACAAAGGCTCGATGCTCACTGGCTATGCAGTTCTCTTACTCTGCTGGTTAAATGACTCCCTCACTTCCAATGCTAATTAGTCCCATCCCAGTCTCTCTCTTCCTTTGAGTCGTGCCTGGTGCTCCTGTCTGGAGGCTGGACCCTGCTGGGCAGCTCATTCTCAGCAGAGCTTGCAGAGCTCCCTTTTCTCCAGCTTTGTTTACTTCTCCTTAGGCCTGAGATAATCAGACAATAGTCCCACCTGAACCTTATCTTAAGTCAGACACTCTATTTAACAATTCAGCAGGCCCTGAAAAGGACTTATTCACCTATTAATAGATTAGAGTAACTTTATAACAACAGTGTATTTACAAATTAAAGTCTCTGTAATGACGTGGAGAGAACTACACAGAACCCCAAAAGTGAAAAATGATCTCATCACCTTTGGGCCAGGAAAGACAAGAAGTGAAAAAATGACCTTATTTAAATGAAGCTCTGAAGAAGCTTAAAGGAGAGAAATCAGGACTGAATATGGGTTGGTACACAGCAGTACTGCTGCCTGAAGGGTCTGACCTACAGAGTACACACACTAAGGATAACGCACCTGTGTGCTCTTGAAGCAGCAGCATTTTCACACCAGGTACTTTTTTCAAAAACTACTCACCACAACAGCTCTGGATTACCAGCTGCTCATAGTAGAAGTTTAGACTAAACTTTCCAGAACTGAATATATGACGATGAAATCTCAGTGAAGAATAAACCTGAACACCAGACTGAAGTGCAGCACTCAGAGAAGTGCCAGGTTTCCCTCCCAGCAGGCCCCAAAGCCCCAGCCAGCCGTACCATGTCGACCAGGGCCACGTAGAGGAACATGCCGGCGGTGACGGCGAAGATCCAGAGGGTGATGTTGTTGGCGTACTGCCCCACGGCCGTGCCGATGAGCATGCCGATGTAGGCCATCATGGCTGACAGCAGGTTGTACACGATGGCCTGCTTCACCGTCATCCCTGCCTTCAGCAGCACCGCAAAGTCACCTGTGGGGGACAACAGGGCTCGGCATCAGCGCTGCTCCAGCAACCAGAGGAACCCACCTCGCCAAAGAGTGCTGCTGCAGGGGCCCGGAGGCAGAGCAAGCCACAGCAAGAACTGTACTTATGCACAGCGATCCCTTGATTAAAATATGATTTAAAGGTGCCTGTTCATCATGTCAGAAAGGTAGCAGTGATTAACTGTGAAGGGTGAATGGAGGAGTCCAGGGCTGCTCTTCCCACAGAGAATACTCCCGTGTGGCACACACACCTTTATTTCAGAGGTTCTTCATGGCACATAAAACCAGAGGCTTAGTCTGGATCAATACCTGTGAAAATTCCTCTTAGCTATCTATACACATCTCATTATGCAAATCCAGGAAGATAATAATGAGGCATTTGTCCCCACAGAAGGTGACAATGAATTTGAATTTGAGCACTAGGAAGAGGTACATTCACAAAGAACTCCCATCCATGCTGAATCAGTTTTCTGGTTGAAGACATGCCAGGTTAATGTGTTTTATTCTGAGTTCAGGACAGCTCTGCTAAATTAGGTGCTAAAAGTAGATATTCTACAAAAATCTAGACTTCAGTCTTGTAATCAGCTCTAACAGTGTTACTCCATTGAAACTGAATTCTTGTGATCGTGAGAAGTGTAAGATGGTGTACAGACATAAGGGCAATTAATGTAATATTCTTATGTAATACATGCTTGAAATTATTTGCCTAATCTAGAATCGAAAATTACAATCAAAACATGAGAATTTAAAAAAAATAAAAAAAATAGGTATAAACTACTCACCCCTTATAAAGGTTAATTTCCTCATGCTATGCTGTCAAGTTCTAAGCCCTGTATACATTGCAATCCTTTATGTACTGCAGCAGCTTCGCCTCACTAATGACTGTATAGTACACGTGTCAAACCACAAACATCTGCTCTATTATTTCACACCTGTGCCCATGATTTACCTATAAGCTCAGGAGCTGCCTATATAAAATGCTTTCCCTCAACAGAAGATTTCTCCTCTCTCTGTCTGTTCTTTTTAAACTCTCAGGGTGCAGTTAATTTTCATGCAATACGGAAACAGGTTTCATCATGGTTAGCTACCTCCAGAAGAAATGCTTCAATTAGGGGGAAGAATCGATGGCACTGGCAACAGTGCCTGCAGCCTTTACCCTAAATGGCTACACCTGCTGAACTTGGCCACAACTGGAACAAAGCCTCTTCTGAAGATCCCCACATGGAATTTTACTTACGTAAACCTGTGTTTACTTATGTGACTTAAGTCTGTGTACAACAATGCCACATAGTGTGAAACTCTCTAAAATGCAGAGCTGTGTAAAATGTACGCTCCTAAGAACATTTTTAAAACATGCTCAAAAAGCTTCACAGAAGTGCTGTAACTAGACACTACCAATATAATCCTGTAGCAATACCTACTCTGAAGCAGTGTTTCTCCCTCACCCTCTGAAGTTCTGGTCACCTCTGCAGCTTCTGCACTGCATTGTGCTTATCACAGGATCACAACAGCTTTTAGATAAGTATTTTGCACAGATGGAGCACAGTGTTTCTACACTTAGTTACCTAATTCATGGGGAAGCTCGTGACAAAATACTGCTATAGATGTACTAATTCCCCCTGTCAGTCCAGCACTAAAAGCTGCACCTAGAAAAAAAAAAAAAAAAAAGAAAAAAAAATTAAAATGTTATTTCACTATTTTCAGGTCAGAAAATCAATTGACTTTGCAGAGCTGACACCCTTCTGTTAGAATGCACACTGATTTTTTTCAGTATGTCTGTGTCCTGTCTGCACATAAATGGGAAATACTGGAAGCACCCTGGATGTGCATTACCACTGCAGGCTTTATTACTCATTTATCTGAAAGACAAACCCTGGAGAGGACAACACAGCTGGGCCAAAAATGAGACACAAAGGCAACCAGCTAATAAATAGCACCACTTTTACACTTTTAGGAACTTTGAATTACATGAGGGCAGCTAGGAATGCACATGATTAAGAGTCTGGCTCTCTTCTTTCCAACTTGGAAATCCAAACTAATATTTAACCCATAACCTTTCTAACTCCTTTCTACTTATTTTTAGAGTACATATCAGCAATATTAGTAAGCCAGACCTGGAAAATAGTAAGGATAAAAACATTGCCATAAATATATTTCAGTACTTTTGCATAAGCTAATTGAATTCAATCAACTTTAAGTTCATACCTTAAATAATTCTGAGATGAGAAAACTGGTATTAAATTTCTGTACTGTAGCAGAGAAAAGCACAAAAAGAGCCTGCAGTGAGCAGTCAAAACAGGCAGCATAAAGCAGAAACAGAAGACACAATCTGAAGACAGAGGGGAAATTTAACTTTCCTCTGGATTCCACATAGCTTGATATATCAAAAAGATGAGCATGCTTTTCTAAAATCTACATTTTACCACAAATTCAGCTGTTTGGGCTTGACCCAGGAACATTTAGAAATGGAGTTTCAATACTGTGAAGTTCTCAACAGAAGGCGTGGCAATTGTTTTTGGCCTTAGAAGCCATTGTCTAAATGTCTTACCTGTTTAATGTGAAAATGAAGCAACAAGTTAATTTTTAAAGAGTTTGGGTTTCTTTAGAAGTTGTCATAAGAAAGTGGAGAAACAGCAGCAGATTGCACATTAATTAGTGACCCCAGCAAATGCTTATCCCCCATCCTTCAAAATGGGTGTGTCCCTTCTGCCATTAGTTCAGAACCCTGCGTGCTCTTACTCTTAAGCAGCTACCTTAGCAAAAATCAAAAACATACACTTCAGTCCTCTCACCATCATACTGATTTGTATATCCAAATTAATACACTTTACAATTCAAATCACATTTAGAGCATTGTGTGACTCCAAGTTGACTTAATAAATCTAATAAAATCTGTTTGGTACTTCAATTTCTTCTGTACTTAGTAGAAATAAATCTATACTGACCATGAGCCAAATTAATACTTTGCTTAAACAAAAATTACATTATCCTATGTAATACTTTAAAAATATTATTTCTGTAACCTGGCTCACAGTATATTTTTATTTGCAAGTACTTTGTAATTCTATGTATTATTAACAATAGTAAAAATAGTATTACTATTATTGTTAGTAAATATCATTCTAAGTAAGACTGAAAGGCATTTATTTATAATTCCAAGGCAACTGAGACCCAAACAAGAAATGTAGGTTACTGTGCTCCATAAATCCCAAGGTTTGTCTGCACCAATCTCTCCTTGGCAGAGATTGTGACTGTCACTGCTACTGATACAATAATTTTAGTGGAAATAGCACAAATATTAACAAAAGGGAAACATACAATTGGCAGCCTTTTAATTTCTGCTCTGCAGGAGACTGAACAATGGCAGTAACCACAGGTGCTAACTGGAAGCCTTACCTGTGATCACTGATAAGTCAAATACTAGCAGAGTTACTAAAGGTAAGGAGAAACTGTTGAGAAATACTCAGTGCTTTTGCTTACCGATTGCTAAGCCATCACTAAAGTTGTGAATGCCATCTCCCATAATTACCATCCAAGCAATATTAGCTATCCCAGTATCTTTCAGGTCTTTTCCAGAATGACAGTGGCCATGGGAATGATGGGAATGTTTGTGATGCCAGTGGTGACTGTGTTTTCTAGCTATCATTTTATCTTCGCCATGGCTGTCATACTCGGAATCGTGCAGCTCGTGCTCTTGGGCGGCGTGGGAGACGTCGTTGTGAGAGTGGTGCAAGTTGTTCTCCTCTTCTACAGACAGGTAGTTTTTGGCAGGGGGCTCCAGCTGCCCATCCAAGTCAGTGAGTTCAGTTTCATTCAGTCGATCTTCAGACAAAACCGAGTCGTCTGCTCCTGCATCGAACCAGTTGGCAGAGACACAGAGTGAATTCCTGTTTAAGCAGCAACCACTGCACCTCTAAACTAAGGGTTAACTGCTCTGGGAAAGCAAAACAAGTATTGTAACATATCCTAGTCTAGTAACATTCTTGTCAGCATTCAATCCAAAAATGAAGTCTGTCACTGAGACATTTTGTCACAAATTTGCATGTACAACATATAAAAGTCTCCACCACAAAGCAGTAGCACTGCATCCATAGCACTCAAAGCCAGTTTTAACCCAGCCTATGCTCGAGCCTGTAATTTTGCTACTGACAAAGTTTATGGTTCAAGACTGGCAAAGAAGAGTTGCCAGAATGATGATAATGTCTTCGAGCTACAGATGGGATCTGAATGGCTCAGGAACCCTATCTGGCTCTGCCTGCACATGCCCATACAGGTCACAGCTCAGCCTCCACTGTCATGTGGACACTTCAAATGTATGTTCCGACCCCTGCACTGCTGAAAGACTTGCCATGATCTATGTCAGTGCCCCAAATCCCATCTGAGACTGTTTGAGTGGAGAAGGCTGCAGCCCTAACACTCCCTTCTACAAATCAAATGAAATAAACCTAATTTGTACAAATACAAATTTGTATAGGTTTTTCATCAACAAATTAATTCTGCAGCCACGCAGGCAACAGAACTGTAAGGCTATGAAGCAAAGCCCTTGCCCTTCTCTCCCCCTGTGAGAAGGGGGATAGAGCATTTCTTCTGGGTACACACAGCATGAGGATTCACGGGCTGTCATGATAGAACAGTGTGCAAAAGTTGTTTTGGATACTTGAGGAATATTCAGGATACTTGGCTGTATTTATGGAAAGAAACAGATTTTGTTTATCTGTAACTGGTCAGATGCTGGAATCTTCAAAGTGGAACAGATATCCCCATTCATTGTGTGGGTGTTCATTTTTGATCTAATTTTTGCCAGGGCTGAGCTAGTCAGCTTAACCAAAACACACCCTGAAAACAAACAAACAAACAAACAAACTCCTGAAGACCCACAGCCACCCAAAACACAACTGCTTCAGAAGTCTGAGAACCATCTCTATGGCATATTAGGAAATGTTCGGAGTGCCCTCAGATCTAAGGAAAACAAAATAAAAGTAAGATTTAATAGGGAAAATCCTATTAAGTTTTATTAACAATGATTTGCATAATAGCAGCAAACCTGTACAAGAGGTTACATGCTACACACCATGCCCCAGTAAACTGCTCCTACTCTGGATCTCCCAATCAGAGAGAATTCTGACAGCAACTGCCTACCTGCAAGGGGTTTCAGCTGAAGCCAGTCAGCATCTGGTCTGTTATTTAATTTGTGATCAGAAAGTTTCCTTCCAATTGGCGATTCTTCAGTCTGGTTTTTTTTGCACCATTTCTGCTTACTCTGCAACAGAAAAGAGGTAACTTCTGGTTTACAAAAGGACACTGATGGAAATAACAGGAACTGAAATGCTGTCCAAAAATCTCTTCTAAATCTCTTCTCTCTTAACATGTATGACAGAGATATGTTACTTCAGAATATTGATCTTTATAAGGCTCAGCAACAATCCCTATCCCTGCAGGATACTTAGCTACTTACCATGGAATCTTACTCCCAAACACATACACAGAGATATATTTCACTTTAGTAAGAGGCGATAGTCTGACAAGGATTGCTCTCACAGCCCAGGAATAGTTCTGTGCAGCTATTAGGTTTGTTCAAGAAAGCAAGCATGCAACAAGAACAGCTCCTCTAATTTGGTCAACTTTGTTTTTTTGTTTTCATTCCTATAACTTCCTTGTATTTCCCTTTAAGAAAGCAGCAAGCTTTTCTATAGCTCATACACCAAACACCAAGGATTTGCAAAAGCAGATTTAATTATTTAATTAATCTCAAAGAAGACATGCCCGATGTAACAGTTTTTGTCCTTTTATGAGAAGATCTGAGAAATGCTTCCTCCAATACAGAAAATCTTTTGCTGCCTGCATGTCCAGCTCCAACAGCAAGTCTAACATGAAAACAGAGAAGCTGAAAAGTTTTCACAGTCATTTTGGGAGAAGCAAGTTGGAGTTTTACCAAAATAATTTTCTCCTTGAAGTTGAATGACAAAGGCAAAGGCTACAACTGAATTTCCATGCACACTCACACTCCCCAGGGTATCTGTTCTCCTTTCATACCCCTATCATAAATACAGAATGCCCCAACACTAAAAATACAGTAATTTTTGGAGAAACAAGTTAAAATTTGACTGGCAACTTACATAAAGCAGGATGTCTGAAAATTTTAACATTTTTCTGCTGTGGAAAACCTGGATACTTCTGTTACAATGGCATTGTTAGGTAAAAGCATACTGCTAAATTTCTTGTCAACTGTCTGACAATTGCTGGGTCTATGACCAGACCTTTCTTACATATTACAATGCTTTCTCCTGCTTCTGAAAAAAAAAAGCCAGGGAGGTTTAGAGAAGAGCTGCAAACTCTTTTACTTAGATCTGCCTCCAAATGTAGCGGCCAGAAAGCTGCAGCTTCCTCCATCAGGTTCCTACACCGTTTTCCCTAAGTTACCTTGCTGAGAAAAGCAACTTCTTTAGGAAATGGATCCCTCACATACCATCAGACAGAAAACAGAGCAGCAGCAGCAGCAGCACGGCGTAAACACAATTCCTCAGCACTCACAAGGTAGCTTTAGGTAACGTATCTTTAAACAGCAAACCATTTCAATACCTACCTTTTGTTTATTGTAATGTTTGTACATTCTTATACAATGCTCAATGATGAAGAGAACATAAATGCCTCCAAGTGCCAAGAGCCCTTTGAGCACGGGATCGTTTTCCTCCAGAAAGCCCTCAGTGTGCGCCGCGTGCGCGTGGCCGTGCCGGTGGGAGCGCCTGTGCTCGTGCACGTGGCCTTGGCCATGGTGGTGGCTGTGGTTGTGGCCTCCGTGGGACTGGCGGGAGAGACAACAGTGACACCACTGGGGCAACCAGGACACTGAAATGGCACTGGGCCAGAAAAAATAACATGAACCCCCACTGTTTCTTGGTTTTTCTTCACACTAACATATTTTGCCATGTAAGTTTTTCAATAGACTATTCATTACCCTGATCAGTAAAAACAATTCCTCTGTGAATTTTTTTTTTGAGGGGGTAGGTAATGTACCCCTTTACTTCAGCTTTTCTCTCATGATGCTGAAGATGAGACTAACACTCAGAAACGTCACAAGGAATTACCATTCTTACCCTCTCATGAGCAACCAAGCCTTATGACCTTTTTAACTATTACAGTCAACTACAGCCTAAATTCTGATCTGAAATATGAACTTAAAAAAACCCTAAAACCATGACCAAAAATGTGTATTAGAATTACACATTTACACAAAGAATATGTAAGTATTAGTCTTTGTGCTAAACAACTGAGGCAACAAACGTTTAGAAAACATTTTCCCTTTCAAGAATTACAGTACACCATCATGAATTAAAAGCTGCTTACCTTCCCTGGGCAATTGCTTGATTCAGTACATTAGAGGTTAATTTCTCCCTCAAATCTAGTAACCAGGCAGGTTAATCCCCAGGAAATACTTTTAGGTGGTACTGATACACAACTATCAGTAAACAAGAGACAGCAATACTGCTAATTTTAAAATACTCTTGTTGGGCTCATGAGTGTTTTACAATAGTGTGACATCAGTTCAGCAATGAATACACAACTACTTCTCCCCTCCTTTTTTTTTTTAGAAAAACACATTTCCTTCCTTTCTGTCAGCAGAAAGTCTCCAACAGTGCTGGTGTCCCTCACAGTCAAGTCAATCCAAAGGTGCATCAGAACATTTCTTTACTGACGCTATCAAACAATTTCTTGAAAATTCTGGACTTATTTACAATTAAGAATAAAAGGTAAGGAAACCATACTTACATGTGGCAAGAGATGGAGCAGTGCATCTCCACTCATTGTTCCTACAGCCAGAGCTACCAAGAAAGTTAGAAGAAATTTGAAGCACCATTGGTTAATGATGGGAACCAAGATCACACCTAGCAAGGAAAGCAGGCTAATGACGGTGATAGAGATGATACCACAAAACCAGGCTGTGGGAAGAAATGAACACAGAAAGGTTATCAGAACAACACCTGCAAAACTTTTTAAGGCTGATTAATGACTTTCAACTATCTCTTAAGAAGGTGACTTTCGTTTAACCTAAGATGTGTGATTGTTCATTCAAAAGCTGTTGAAAAATATAAAGGCAGTACTGAAGTCCACAGCAAAACCAAAAATACACAGGTTTATTCACAGCACAGTATAATATATTGAGACATCAGAAGACAATTAGCTAAAAAGAGCCCAGCAATTCTTCCTGACTGCTGGTTTCAGGCTTAGCTTTGTAGCCCTTCATGAAACAAAAAGCAAAAGGTTCCATACTGGAACAAAACCATCTCTGCTACTTAACTTGCTAGGGCTCTACAAAGCACCATTGTGTATGTAACAGTTGCTTTTAATATGGTTCTGATGCAAAATTTTTCTGGATTCTGTATTTCTCCCCATTTGGAGTCACATGTTTAGTTTGGCACTATTTATTTCACCTTGTGCTTTGAAACATACACTAATTCACAAGAAGACTCAACCTTTGGCAGATGAACTCTAAAATCAAATGCTACCATAAGAGCTCGAAAAGCTGAAAGCAGCTTGCTACCACCAAATAGCAACATTTATTTTTTTCTGAGATTCTCTACTGTTGCCATTAGAAGAAGAAGTGATAATGGGATGTGGTACACCCAACATATTCCTGTTAATGAGGAAATGTGAAAATTTCTACATGACATGAGAAAGAAGGAATTACAGAAGAAACAGATCCTATAAACAAAGAGACAGAGCTCTTTCAGTCAGCATCTCACTGTAATAAAATATTTTCTTTGAGTTTTAGCACAAAGGCTTTGATTTTCTTCAACAGGGTTTTTCCTAGCTCAACTTTTAATCAAAAATGTCTACCACAATTTGCCAACTCTAATGCAAGTTACAACTCCTGACTCAGAATCACTAACGTTTCCACATTTCAGAGCACAATGTGACTTTCCTTGCATCTGTGAGGGCCCACAAGTAGGAGGGAACATCTTGGGAAATGGGGCAAAGTATAGGTGAAAGGAGAAGAAAAGAGGAACAAATATGTTGTAGCTGCTCAGCGTCAACATCAGGGTAAAACACCCCAAGAACTCTGTCTGTGCCAAACTCACTGTGGAGCAGATTTAGACGACTTTGCCAACTGAAGTGTGGCTGCTGTAGGCTCCATCTGGTTCAGCACCAAAGCTCACAACATCTGCTGCTTTAAATTTTATTTTGGGATATCTATTCTTACTAAGTCTGTGGCTGTCATTCCACAACACTGCATAAAAGCAAACAATCCAACTGAAATGCAAGGGGTGCAAGACCACATCCTCTGGGAGAAGATGACTGGAAAAACCTTTAGACAGTATGAGGTGTGTGTGCACTGACAGACATGAGTACTGAGACCAGAGCAAAAGGGAACTGGTGATAAGGCAAAGTGTGCAGTCAGATGAGGAACTGAAAAACTGGGGCTGGAAAACAGGAATACAAAAGTAGGTCTGAAGTTGAGGCAGGACCCCGATGACTAAAATACTGCCAATAGCCTTGACTGATCCCCAGAGCGCTTTAGCCACGTACCCTGGACTGACAGGCTCTGCTGAAAATCCAGCATATGTGGAGATGTCCCTCAATGTCCAACCAAGCACGCAGGCACGAGCAGCCCAGATAAAAATGACACAGCCACTGGGCAGGACACTGCCCCCAAGCTGGACACTCTGGTGTTAAATGCCAGGTTAGATGATCAACGGCCTTACATGGAGCAAAATGGAAAGGCTAAAGTTTCACCTATCACAGGAGGTTTGGCAGATACACCTCTGAGGGGTTGGAATACTCCTATGGATGATACAGGACCTAAACACGGCATCATGATTAAGATAAGACACATGAGATTAGAATATGGAATCTGCGCCTCTCTCGGATCGAGCTCCAGGGAGCACTGGCATCTGCACAGGCAGAATTACAACTTGTGCCTGATCTGAGGCACTTCTAATCAACAGCTCTAAGTGATCTCCATCTTTAAACAAAACACTCCCTGTTTACTTGTGTGACTTCTATTGGCTTCTTTCATAGCAGGGTGTGCCTTTCCTTTTCAGCTGTTTAGGGGCCCCAGTGCTGACAAAGCCCCCTCTTCCAGCAGGTACACTGTGAAAGCTCAGCTCTATGGGGAAGCCCTTGAGAATCCTCCATTAGAAGATGTAACAGAACTGTCTGTGAATTACAGAAGAAAACCCAACATGGCTTCATAAGTTTTTGGCTGTAAATTAAATTATTTTTCTTTAGAAAACCACAGTAGCAGAGGTAATGGAAACCTCACAGGCTTGGTATCAATGAACAGAAGCAACACTGGCCTGTTAAGATTGTTTGAAAGCTTCAACTAAAACTTAAGTAAACCACAGAAAGCTCATGTTTAAAAGTCACTGCATCCTCCTAATTTTGGTGAATACTTCTATCTAAAAATGTTTGTATTAGCTCAGGTGGGCACATGATTTCATTTCAGTACAGTCCTACAACCTACAGATTAAGTTACTCTGTGACTGACATTTGCCCTACACCTCCCACAATCCCCATATTCCAGTTAGGATTTGATATTTTTTGATTCACTTCCTTACATAAGAAGGAACAAATATTATTACAGCAACTGAAATCTTGCTGTAATTAATACAAGAGAATACAGGAAATTGTTATGAAGAATGATTTATCATAATCTAATCAAGCTGACCTGTTCTGCAGGTTACTTTTTGAAAGCCAAATCAATGAGTTAGAACCCAAATTTTTGTAACTAACTGGCAAAGGTGTTATTTATACTCAAGGTATCAGATGCCATAAAACATGTTAAATGTTCACAATAAGCTTCACTAATTTTGCAAATTAAGTCTCTTAAAAAGTTAAAGGTCTTCAAGCTGAGTTATTAATGAACTCCCTTTCTCATTTCAGAGAAATAAAGTGCAATCTTTTAAAAAGAAGCACTCATCTGTAGAAGCTTCCTAATTAAACTGGTTCAAAGCAAGTGCAACATGACAGTTTTGTATAGGGTTTCAACATTTTAATTGGCAGAAAATGCTTAGAGCTGCTCTAGCAATGCTCTTGGTAATAAGGCAGGGGTCAGCTCTTCCTACACTGAGACCACACCACAAAGCAATTGCTGTTGTACAAAACACCCACTGTATCTGCTTTACAGCAATCTCTGAACAGCTAACAAGACAGCAGATGTGTCACTAGAGGAGATTTATCTATAAGTCAATTATTCTAATGACTCTGCAATTGTTAAGAAAGATTAGCAGCAATGCATTCTTCCCAACAGTTATTAACATCTATGAGAATGCAGTTATTTCAAGCTTTATTTCTAATGATGCTAATATGCACCTATGTCCTAATCCATATTCACATTACCAATACTTTCATTTTCAAAATACAGACATTATAACCAAGATTTTTTAGATTTTTATATTTTAATGCAACTAAGCATCAACAGTTCCATTATAATTTATGAAAGATAGCAGTGGCAAACATATTTAAAAAGTGATTTCAGTTATGAAATTACAACAATGGATTCTACCTTTCAAGTAACTGCTTTAATGGTAGTAAAGATATTTTAACTTAAAACTGTGGTGATGGGAGGAAGTTTACTCAGTTTTATTCAAGGCACACACAAAAAAAAATCAAAACTGGAAACAGAGGATTTTGATGGAACACTTCTCATGTGCTTAGAGAGAAATAGCAAGAAAAGGGAAGTGTCAGAAATGGGAATTAAAATGCTCTAGTACTTGCTTAAGTCTATTTTTTTAAGTTCATCAAAAAATTGGCATGTCAGTTCTGCAGACCTGTATCACTGCTAAAACATAAAAATAATAAGACCTAAAATCTTATTTTCCAGTGAATGAACTGTGATCAAAGTGTTGTTCTCTATTCCTGAATTAATAGGTCCAGGTCAAATTTATTAAGAAATTTAGTGCCAAAGTAACACTGCAACTTTCCAGCTTTGAGACAAACATATGGACCAGCTCAGTCCCACTAAGAAAAAAAGACACCTACCTGATGCACCTGTTTTATCTTTATTCTCAATTGATGCATTTTTATTTCTTGTAAAATCTTCCAGGTCATCATAATGTACAATACAAAGCCTTCTCTCAATCTGGTAGAGCAAAGCAGGGCACATGTACACAAAGAGCTCAGGAGATATTAGAGAGCTGGCTTCCAAACCATAGTACCGTAGCAGCTGTGTGGCGTTCAAGCACTGCAAGCAAATTGTACAAACAAATCAAATATAAAATATTTTCACTTATGGAAAATGCAGGGTACTATCTGAGAACACAAACAAAGCAGAAACATTGGACCAAATGTTCCACCAGCGCTAAAACATATTTTAAACTGATCTAAGTGGTTTATGAAAGAAAGAAACAGTAAAAATATCTGCACCACAAACTCGAGTCTCCCAACACCTACATAACTTCTGATAAATGTCAATGAAAAGCAGTCTCCATATTCTTTACATAGTACAAGCAATGAAGAAAAAGCAACAGGTGAAGAGTGGAAAACTGTAAATCCAAAATAGGTTTTTCAACACTTCTGTTTACCTATCAACCTTCTGTGTTTTGAGTTTCTTTATAATACAGTTTGAAACCTTGAACTCAGCACTCTCTCCATCCTTCCAGTTTAAAATTATGACAAGGTCCTGCATCTGTAGTTAACTGTAAGAGGAAGGGATTTATGGTGCTGACAGAAATAATGGATGCTGAAGGATACAAGAGAAGAGCTTCCACTGAGCACAGTGCCACTGAAGCTACACCTGCAATTGCTTCTTAATCTCTTAGGACAAAGATATCAGAAGTGTGCAGAAAAGATGCAGGTATTTTAGGAAAGAGTGTCTGTGCAATTTTCAAAAATGTTAATGACCTCAGATTCAGAAAGACGTCCAAATAAGGAGTGCGTGGTGGCGTTATTCCAGAATACTGGGAAGGGAAGAACCTCACCTGTAAGCAGGGTATCTCAGAAAGCTTTATGGATCAACTACAGATAAATAAGCATGACAATAAGTCTCTGGAAAAGATAAATGATGGGCACACAGAAATGTCAACTCATCAGCTCAGAACTGTGGCAGTGACCTCTAGTACTGTCACTCTGCTTACCTGTATTGCACTATGGTCCCAAACACAATCCTCGTTACTTGTGGGTATGCACCTTCAATTATGATGTGACAGCACTGAGTCAACTTACCAGCTCTCCATTTCATACTCACCTCCTCATGCTTGTGCTCGTCTTCGCTATGATCCTTGTGACCACGTGCTGCAGGAAGAGCGTGTTTCCTCACGCTGATCTGCTTGTGCGAGGCCTCTCGCTTGCTGGTGTGGCGGTGCCCGGCGGCACTGCCCACACTGCCATCCTGGTGCCCGTGGCTGGCAGAGCGCTCACCGCTGTGCTCGTGGTGGTGCACGTGCAAGTGAGAGGCGTCATGGACGTGGTCGTGTTTGTGAACCCGATTGTGCTCGTACTGGTCACCGGGATCGTGCTCCGGGGCATAATCCCACGTAGTGTCGCCCGACGTCTCGCTGATTTTCTTCTGCTTCTTCTTCTGTTTCCGCTGTTTCCGTTCTGGCTGATCCTGCGTGGTGTTTGTCTCTGTGGAAGGCTCGTGGCTCTGCTCCGCGTGGTCACCGTGACTGACGGAATCGTTGCGCGAGTGGCGCGTGCCGTTGTGCTCGTGCCGGTGAGGGCGCGAGTGGTGGTGGTGGTGGTGACGGCGGCTTTGGTTATGAACGTGTTTGCCGTCCTCCTTCACCGAGGGCACCGCCGCGTCTCTCTCAGCGTCACATCTGTGATTTCTCTTTGCAGACACACCAACTGTGGTCTGGTTTTCTGAATCTGAGTGGCTGTGAGCATGGTTATGAGGATGAAAATGCTTTCCCTCCTGTACTTCCAAAGCATACAAGTGAGAAACATGATCATGGCCAATATCATCATGATTTATCATCACTACTTTTACCTCTCCCAAACCAAGGCTTATTAACAGTTTTTCCAGGCCAAAAAAGGATAATCTTCCATTTTCACCGTAGCGATCAAAAATCTTTTCAATGTAGTATTTTTGTTCATTTTCTGCTTCCAACGTTGAAAATTTACTGGGCATAGATTCTGTTCCTCCATTCTGGAAGTATGATTCATTTGAGATCTGATAGTCATTATGGTCGTGTACACGATCCTTTTTGGGACCATTGTTATGTCCATCTCCATGGCAATGATTGCACTGATGAAAAATAAATGTCAGCAAACAAATGATGCAAAATTTTGTGTGCATGTGTACCTTCATCTCTGTTTCCTACAAGAAACACAAAAGGAAGGACTTAGCTGTAAAAGCAATCCCAATGTCAATTTATTTGGCATATCAGTTTGGTACTTATGCCAACTGAATCACTCACACAACTTTTTACATACTGGCAGTAAAATAGCAATTGCAGTACTTTTACTGCAGAAATCATATTAATGTACTTTTCTTATCCAACAGTAAGAAAGATTCTGTGTATTTTAGAGATGTGGTTTTACAAACCATACTTACAGAAGGCAATGGTAAAACAAAGATTAACAACATTTATAGTCAGTCATATCAGAATATTTTTGTGCATATTTTCAGAGAGATCTATACTTATGATAACCTATAATATTGAAAATCTTGCTAAAACACAAGCTACAAAAGAATAAAAATTATTTTAAAATAACTATGCTGTATTTTCCTGTTCACAGGGGTGACAGGCAGGTAATACAGCTGAAAACCCGCACACCATTTGTTCTTTTTTGCTGCTAAAGTGCCTCCACTGAACATACACTGAACAATTCCCTATTTTGAAATTGCCCATTACCAATGTAAAAATAAGTTGTCATTAACCGACTTCAATGAATTGCTTAAATGTTCCTATTTTTAGTTCTTTTCACTTACATTGGTGATCTACATGGACATCCATTTTTAAGCAGGGTTATATGGAAAACACCTGCTTGTGCAACTCAAAAAATATTGTTAATGCTGACAACTGTCAAACTGAAAGCAGTTAGTGCTGATTTTTAGAAATGATATCATTGAGACAATGAGGATTTTAATTTAGCCTTACATGTAAAAAACTTACAATTCAACACCATGGAGGAGACACTGCCAAAGCTCATCTTGTGTTCAGAATTGAAAACAATTCACCATTTTACACTGTAGCAAATGCAAGGATGTGAGGGGACAGGCAAGAGGCCAGCTGTGCTTTAAGCTCTTAACAGTGGTTTTAGTTCCTGATGTGCACTGTGACTCGAGTGCCGCTGGCCCTACAGACAGACTGACCTGCTCAGCACATCCTGAAGTGCCACTGACTCACATTGAGACAGGAGAAATTGGGTTGTCCTTCCCAAGTCCCCCACAGCTGCTCACTAAAATGTGCTGTATAAAACCAGCCAGGAGAGTGCTCTGCAGCAAACCACAAAACATTTGAAGTCCGTATTACTTTCCCAAAATACCAGCCTGCTCTTTTGTGATTAAACACTTGTAACCACATTACTGCAAACACACACACTCAAAATCTATTGGAAGCTCCAATACTAGTAAAAGGTAGGCAGAGAAAAAGAACTGCCTTCCAAAGACTTTTTATGGCAAATAAGTGTGTCAACATAGAAGACTGGGGAAAAACCTTTCTCCTGTTAACCTCTACAAATCCAGAATATGAAAATTAATTTTTCATTGGAACCTCAAAAACTTAAAAAAAAATTTTAAAAGACAAAATTCTCTTTTGCAATGCTGTCCCGCTTAAAAATATAAGCCCAGAAGAATGAGTATCTGTCAAATGGAGGCATCTGCATCAAAATTGATTCCATGGATGTCAGGTAGGTCAATGGCTACTTGTTGTACATTAGTGGTTTATTTTTATAAGCAACTGTTCAATCATCAGTCAGGAATAACCACAGTTTATCTCCAGTTCAACCCCCTACATTCCAGTTACTGATTTCCGGGCTGCGATAAAACTTTTTCAAGTAGCTCAGTGTAAGTTCATTCCCCAAACTTACTGAAATATTATTTTCATATATTAATATACATATATATATTAAGTAATAGTACTTTTGTAGATAAGACATCTTTTCTCCCCCGTTGCCACATAATGGTAATACAATCAGAACAAGAAAAGTTAAATTATTCTCATTTAAACAAGCATGATCCAGACTGAAATATCTCTACCAGGAAATTCATGACCAAAGCATGCTCATAATCCTTTTCACAACCTCATGATCTTTTCCATGTGACTGTCTCATACAATACTACTAATACATTACTTGGAAACTTTAGTCATGCATCCCTAATTGTGGAGTTTAGCTTTGAATGGTACCTTTTCTCTATGCCCTAGTAGTTAAAATAGCTTGTAACCTATGACAGCAATTCATTGCTGAAAAACAAGAGCTGAGCAGTATCAAACCAGTTACTGATTTCATCAATTACTTGTCTGTTTTCAGTTAAAACAGTAATAACCCTAGCACACATTTCTGATCTTCTATTGTAAAATATTCTGTATCTTCCATTGCAAATCTTTGTACAGAACAGATACTTAAAAACCAAATGTGCCAATAATAAAAGGTTTCCAAAAGAACAATCAGAAAGAATTAATTCTTTCTTTTAAAATGAGCTTCACTATTCTCTAGGCAACTGGAAATAGCTGTCAAGTTTAACCTGTCTGGCAGTACTCATATGTGTATAACACTGGAAAGTTGAAGTCCAAGTTCTATACACTTCAGTGGCACAAAATTGTATATAGCTGATCGCATTATAGGAACATTAAGACTCTCAAATCCCCTTGAGAGAATATGCAAGGGCAGCCTGAGGACAAGGCTACACCAAAGTTGAAAAAGATTCTGCCTATTACTGCTGTCAGCCTCTGCCTAATTCTGTTCACTCACCCTGCTGCCTCCCCTCCTCGGCTCCTGAGGGGCAGGAACGCCATCCCGGGCAGACAGGAGTGACAACAACTCCAAGCCATGGGTCAGTAATGAACTGCAGCACCCATAAAGGGCACAGCTGAAACACCAGCACCTGCTGCACTTCCCTGAGCTGCAACAAGAACAGAGTCCTTCCCGACACCTCAGGCAGCTGGACAAGCCCACCCCAAGCCAAGCTCCAAAATTAGAACGTGTACATTTGCAGAAGCGTGTCCCACCAGAGGGCATTTCAGAAAGGCACCTCATCCCCTCCCCACACAGCAGTGCAAGAGATCATTCCCAACAAATGGAGAACTGATTGAACTTACACACACACACAGGCTGCAGGTGAAAGCACCTGGGCACTGCATGAGCATTTGCCTTCTCTGCATGGGAAACCCAGCACATCTCTCTGCAAACCACTGTCTGCCTAGGGTATTTCAGCTACTTAAGCAAAGGCACCTGTGATCAGAGCTGGGTTTGGTTTTGTTTCTTTTTAAAAGCTTTTTTTCATTCGACTTCCCTTGGATTTCTGAAATTTATCCACAGTGCTTACTATTTCAACTGTTCTTATATAGCACTTTCTGCTTTAAAGCCTGGAATATGAACATGACTGTGGAGACATCTTTGTTTACCAACTGTTTCACTGAGACTAGAAAACTAGCTCAAGACTTAGGCTGCACTTAAAACAACAAACTTGGATTCAAATAACGTGGTCATAGAAAATTCAAACTCAAATGAAAGCCGCATCTGTTATTCCAGCATTTGCAGCCCACATAGTACAGCATTTTTTCAGTGTACAATGCTGACTAGAATATTTTAAATGCCCAACTTTCTTCCCCCTAACCCTTTTTCTTGTCTACTCCCAGCAATTTTAATAACCTGAAATATTTGTAATACAAATGCACTGATTTCTTCCCTTCCCACGCTCCTTCCCAAGTAATTTCAGTTTCACTCCCTTGTTGTTCAACTTTCTTATCCTAGTTTTTCTCTGAAGAATGTTCTGCTCATCTATGAAAAACATCCTTGACTCCTCTAAGTTACTCAGCTTGGATGCCACAGAGAGTAAAGTGCCTTAGCATGATTTCATGGGCAGCTATGAGCTCCACACCAAACACGTGCTGCAGCTAAGGCAAGAGAGCCCAGAGAGACAAGGGGTGCTGAAAATAAGGACAAAGCAATATTCTTACCAAACGAAGGCATTCTTGCTGTGAGGCTGTACAGCACTTGGGTAATTCATGTTTATTAAGAACTTCTCAGAGTAACAGCTCTATGAGAAATGCCAATTTCTTAAAAAGAGAAACATTTCTTGAAATAAATTACTGACTACATAAAGACATGTAAGTTTTTCCTACAATTCCTAAAATTTAACTTCTTTTCTACATTGCAGGTATTTGCTCCAATGTACATGCAGAAGAGATATATGCAGCTTCCCCCACCACCCTGAACTGTGCAATACTTCACACAAATATTTGGTTCAAAAACAAGGCCAGAATCTGAAAATCCAAACAAACCTACTCTACATTTTTAAAATTTCACTTTTTAAATGAATACTAGAATAAAAAGCCATATTAATCCAGCACACATCTTTAAGATAAATGATTTTTTAAAAAAGAAATGTGAAATTAATATATTGTTATCACTGAAAGACATTTTAAGAAAGCCATAAACCCATTTTAACTAAATAAAAACAACCTGTTTTAATCAGTCGTAAGCTGACATTAGCCTCTGCTAAGGAAAACAGGAAAGCATGCTACAGATCAATAAAGTTAAAATTAACCATTTCTAACTTTAGTTCTCACCCATCTCCTCTATTTTCTTCCTTCTTCAGTTTCAGTGAAACAGGTTTGTGGATTTCAGTAGAACTCATTCATTTGAAAACCTGTAGCCCAGTAGGAGGGGCACTTTGTAAGAACAGACCATTAACTAATTGATCCAAACTCTATTTGCTAAGTTAATACCAGATAAGACTTAAAGAGCACAGAAAGCATTTATGCATAACTGAACACACCATGAATACTGAAAATCTGAACTGTGAAGTATTTGAAAAGCCAAGTCCCAAGCATAACAAAATGATCTTGAACTAATGCAGTAGTAATCTACTGGCTCAGGTATCCACAAAGAACACTTATTCTGAACATAAAAAACTGGACAGCCTTCTTCAGAGGGTCAGTTATTTGTAAGAAATTGCTGAATACAGGATCCTTCTCAGAGCTCAAAAGAATATAAAAACTTCAGAATACTTGGAAGTTCAGTAAGTACTAGTTCTGCTCACTAATAATTAATTTGCAGTCTTTCATACATAAACTGGATGTAGTCCATGAAACACCTATCAATGCACAGAATTTATAACAGTGTTTTAGCTTTTGTGCCAATATTCTGTAT